AAAGGGATCTCCCTTTGCACCGTTCTTTCTCTCCTCTCTTCCGCTCTCTCACAATTACACATGATCCCACACACGGCTTTGAGATAATACAGCTTTATTACATAGGGGTTAAGCCAAAATATAAATGAGTTGATATCTTTTTTTTTTTTTTGAGACAGTCTCACTCTGTTGCCCGGGCTAGAGTGTCGTGGCATCAGCCTAGCTCACAGCAACCTCAAACTCCTAGGCTCAATCGATTCTCCTGCCTCAGCCTCCAGAGTAGCTGGGAGTACAGGCATGCGCCACCATGCCCAGCTAATTTATATATATATATACATATATATAAAATGTATGTATGTGTGTGTATATATATATATATATATATATTTTTTTTAGTTGTCCAGCTAATTTCTTTCCATTTTTTTTAGTAGAGACGGGGTCTCACTGTTGCTCAGGCTGGTCTCTAACTCCTGACCTCAAACGATCCACCTACCTTGGTCTCCCAGAGTGCTAGGATTATAGGCCTGAGCCACCGCACCCAGCCTTGATATCTTCTTATAAACTTCTTTTTATACATATATTCTCTCTTTTCCTGACTCCAAAGTTTTCTACACACACAGCTCAGGCACCTAGTAACTTGACTTAAAATGGTGGGAGGCCACACCCTTCCTCAAATCACCCACTCTCTTGTAGCACCCTCATTTTTCTCCTTGTTGCACTTAATGCATTTTATAATTAGCTAGTTCTGTGTTTATTCCATATCCTATGTTAGTCTTTGATCTCCTTAAGAGCAGAGACCAGGTCTGTTTTGCTCATATTGGTATCCCCAGCACCTAGGATAGGTATGATACCTGGCACCTAGTAAGTTTTCAATAAATGTTTGCTGAAGGGATTATTGAATGAATAAAATATATATACTACATTTCGTGGTGCCAATCAACTGCCTGTTGAAGTAAAGGCTCCCTCACCGCAGAATATGTTTCATTAAAGGGTGGAAGTTCATTTTAACCTAGGTGAGATCATCTGTTCTAACCAATTTCTACCAAGTGTCAAAGCAATTCACGTTCTCTTGCTAGAGTTGCACAGTAGGACATGTATCCCTGCCTGCCCACCTCATGCAGTCCACAGACCTGATATAACAGCGGCCCCGCTGAGGTAGAGAGCCAGAGCTTCCCCCAGGTAACCTGGGCTTCTGGGTCCAGGTAACACGGCCTTTCCCATCATCCCCACAGCCCTAGGAGTGGTCCTGGCTTCCTGTTTTTGCTCCCTTCTGGGTAGCCTATCCCCCAGGCTTCTCTGCTCTTTCACCACTAGTATAATTCTCTATATTAAATTTCCTCTGTTTTAAAGACTTCCAGTGGGTCATATTTTTCTTGCTGGACCCTGATTTCAAATGAAAAGTCTGAGTTGTACAGAAAACATGATCTCACGGGAAAGGCCCTAAAAATGGTTCAAGAGTAAGACCTGGGGTCAGAATATTAAAGCTTCCATTCTCACGCTGCCTCTTCCTAGCTGTATATCCCTGGGCAAAACACTTAAACTGGTGTTTCTCAAACCCTGTGTCAAGGCACCCCAGACATTACAGTGAACTCACAGGGGTCTCCCAGGATATTTAGAAATTTTAAAATCCTCTTGTGATTGACTATTGAAGAACAGCTGCGATGCTGTATGTGTTGGACCTTACTGGCTACCTATCCAGCATCCATCCTCCACTCTGTCCAACCTGATGGAACCTGGATTAGATTCTGGAATCCAACCCTTCCTCACATGCCCATGTGCTCTGGGAAACTGAGTCTGGGGCAGCTCCAAGAGCAGGCTGGCTCTATCCAAGGATGCCCTCCACCCAAGACTGGTATATGAGTGACTTGTAACTTAACTCAGTTCAACGAGACACAAGATAAGGTTTGCTGAGGGCTCCTGAGATCTTCTCTTCTTCTGAATGTTGCTATCTTTGGGTGTAAGATCCAGAACTTGCACCAGCCTGAGAATAAAGCAAACACATGGAGAATGGAAAGCTGGCAGCCCAGAGAATTGCAGGGAAACAGGGACTGAGTGACTGGATACAGGCAGTCGTTTTACAACTCACCATCTCCCTGGACTTCAGGCTGCCAGACAAAACATGTCCTTCATGGTTTGGACATTGTTACATGCAGCTGAAGCCACCCTGATCTGATATAGGTGAAAGTATTTTGCAAATTATGAAGTGCAGTGTAGTTGCTGCTGAAGCCTGGAATGTGCTTAGACGGAAAACATGGACAGAGACAAGAGGCCCAGGTGCAACCAATCACCCTGTTTCATGTGGTTTGTTTTATTTATCACCATACAGTTTGTGACATCTCATCACTTGCTAGATTGTAGTATTAAGAGTATAAATAAATGTATATCAAACTATGTCTTCAAGAATATAATTCTTCTGCCACTAGGATTTGCCATCTTTAATTGCCTGCTTCTCTTCGACCCTCCTGAAAGCTTCCTATTTTCTCCTTACCTGCTCCCTTGTCTATTTCTAAATCTACAGTTTGTTAAAAGACAAGTAAAAAAAAGAGGAATGTGTAGTATTTTCTGCACAGGGTCTTGGACTCTTCAGAAGAAGGGAAGTATGGGTTACTTACAATAGCTACTAACCTAGCTTATATACATTCATTTTTCCAAAAGTTCATAACCTATAAAACCCAATTTTTCATTCAAACATTTTGTATAAACTCAATTAATTGGTATTTTAAGCTAGCCCATGTTTATTCAGATTTTTGCCAACTTGCTTATATCTTTTCCCTCACCAATCCATTCAATAAATACCTTTCTGAGCACCTATTCTAACAGTAGCCCAGGTGAAAAGACTTGGTACATATCCATTAGGACAGTGCTACTCAAAGTGCAGACATTGAACTAGAAGCGTTATAATCATCTGGAAGCTTGGTAGAAATGCAAATTCATGGCTCCTGCCCCAGACCCCCTGCATTAGAATCTCTGTAGATGGGGCCCAGGAATCTGTGTTTTAATAGTATCTCCAGATGGTTCTTTTGTGTGCTAGAGCCACTACTCTGGGAACTTATGGCCTAGTGAAGGGTTTTGTAAACTATAGTAAAAGCAATTACTATCCCTGAAGATATATTTACAAAGCTCAATGGGAAGGAGCTAACAATTACTGAGCACCTAGGATGTTCAGACATCTCACAAGCATTGTCTTAGACATCACAATGATGAGTGAGATTTGAACCCAAGACCCTTGTGACTCCACCATTCACAATCACTGCATAAAACTACCCCAGGATTGAGAAGCACAGGAAGTTTCACAAAGAAGGCTGTGTTTAAGCCAAGTCTGAATTTGCCAGATCAACAAGCTGGAGCAAAAGGATTATTGTTAGTCCTGGAAAATAATGCAGTGTATGGAAAGGAATGGAAACAAGAGACCACAGTACATTTAGAAAGTTCAGGGCCAGGCACAGTGGCTCACGCCGAATACTCTGTGAGGCCAAGGCAGGCCGGATGGTTTGAGGTCAGGAGTTCGAGACCAGCCTGAGTGAGACCCCATCTCTTCTAAAAGTAGAAAGAAATTAGCTGGACAACTAAAAATATATAGAAAAAATTAGCCAGGCATGGTGGCGCATACCTGTAGTCCCAGCTACTTGGGAGGCTGAGGCAGAAAGATTGCTTGAGCCCAGGAGTTTGAGGTTGCTGTGAGCTAGGCTGATGCCATAGCACTCTAGCCCAGGCAACAGAATGAGTCTGTCTCAAGAAAAAAAACTTTGTTCGGGTAGCCCAATATAATGTGGGGAGCAGTAGGTAGGGATGGGACTACATAGCTAGGAAGAAGTCTTATTGTAAATAAGGGTTGGCTATGTAAATTAGTACATAGTACATGCTATGTAAATTAATTTATATCTTATTCTGTAGGGGAAAAGACCACCACTGAAGAATTTTGCAGGAAAAAACTAGTATGTTGTCACAAAGATTACTGGTAGAGTAACATGGGGGAAAAGCCAAGGCAGTGATACTAGAGGTCAAGACAGGTTAGGGCAACTGAGCAGGAGCCCAAGGAAGAGATGAGAGAGGAGCCAGAGTACAACCAGCAATGGGGTGGGGCAGAGGGATGGCATGGAGAGCTGCTAAAGTGGACCTCACTATTGAGATCTACTGGTTTAATAATCACTAAGTTTCCACTGTGGACCCAGCCACTATTCTAGGAACTGGGGACTTAGTAATGAATAAAACATTCAAAATCCTTCCTGAACCTTCCATCCTAGTGTGTGGTGGTGGGCTGAGGGAGGAGGGCTGGGGTTAATAAGCAAACATGATGCTGGGAGTGATACGTGGCATGAAAAAAGACAAGACATGTGAGGGGGTGGCGGGTCCCCAGGGGGCTGCTACTTTAGACAGGGCCAGGAAAGGACTTCCCGCTAAATGACATGTGGGCAGCAGCCTAGGTGGAGTGAGGGGTGTGCAGAGGGCCCACAGTGGGAGGGAGACACGATGGGAATGGAAGCAGGAGACTGGTGGGAGGAAGAGGAGCCTGGCAGGACTTTCAAATGGACGGCGACACAATCTGCCAAGAAAAAGAGGCACGGTCGGTGGCGCTGGGGTCAGTGGCACTGGGGTTGGTGGTGCTGGGGCCGGTGGCGCTGGGGCCGGTGGCGCTGGGGCCGGTGGCGCTGGGGCCGGTGGCGCTGGGGCCGGTGGCGTTGGGGTCGGTGGCGCTGGGGTCAGTGGCACTGGGGTTGGTGGTGCTGATGGGCAGCTCCACTCAGGAGTCAGGCACCCAGCAGAGCTGGCTATGGAGGGCTGGGAGTTATCTGAAGGAAATCCTGAGAACATTTTCTAATATTCCAGTTCAAAAACACAAACGGAATGATTTCCTTGTCAAATTAAAACGGTCAGACTTCTCTATCTAAGGACATTCATTTTGGTAAACAGTAGAGCTCAAACTATTTCAATGACTGACAAAATAATATTTGAATGGTTTTTAAAAGGCTTTCCTGAAAGTTTACACAGACTTAAAAAGCACAGGTATACTTTAGGGGAAAAAAAGAGTTTTATTTAATAAAAACATACGTTAATTCATTTAAAGTTAGTATATAAGTATCTTAATAACAACAAATATATTCTATCAAGTAAATCAGAAGGCAGAAAAACTGCCACAATTTAGTATAAATACACAAAACATTTCAAAATCAAAAGCCCTGATGATAAGCATTTTCAACATTGAATCACTACTGTGTAATCAGTGTCTTTGGTTGTTTCTTGATTAGAATAGCTGGAGCACTGTGACTCTGCTCTTCCATGTTTCCACGCACACAATTTTATGTGCTATTCTATACTGTAAATGCAATACTCAGATTCATTTGAGCTGCAGGCCTGGAAGTTAGAGATTAGCTTTCGGTTTATTACTTTCAATGATTTTATCTGAAACAAGCTGATCAATCTCTTCCTGGTCGAATCCAAATTCTTTAAGTATCTCCTTGCTGTGTTCTCCCATAAAAGGATCTCTTTTGGAAGAAGGGACGGCAGGGGTGTGGGACAGCAGAGGTGCGGGGCAGGGGCTCACGCCCTGCTCCTCGTCAGTGATAAACGAGCCCCGTTCCTTGTTATGATCATGATGGACAGCCTCTTCAAAAGTCAGAACTGGAGTCACACACGCATCTGTGCCATCAAAGATTTGGCACCACTCTGCCTTTGTTTTCTTTGCAAATACATCTGCAAACTTCTTCTTCATTTCTGGCCAATCCGTCATGCTCATCTGTTTGGGAAGTTCATCAGATTTCAGTCCAAGTCCTGAGGGAAAAATACAATTTCTTAAACTGCTATGCTTTGAGTAGAGTGATTACAGTCCATAAACATGAATGGTGAGCCCACCATGCTGTCCTGAATAAGATATTCAATAAGGACTTCTCAAATGAGTCAAGAAAAGCAGTTAAAAGTCAGTTTGAAGTTGGATCCAAGGCTGGAGAGGACAGAGGTAGCAGGTGCAGCAGGACTCGAATCAGCCTGTCATTGCCAAGATTTTATTATTTACATTTCATCAAAAGTAGTCTATTTTTAATGGTCTACTTTACAGAAATTGATTTCTTCCCTCTGAGTAGGTTTTGAAAAAGAAATTTCCTCGGGACATTACTATCTGTCTTACTGAATTAAACCAACCTCATATTTTATATAATATAACCAAACCCCATAAAATTCAGACAATTTTACACTTGACTATCTCCGTGTTCAAAGAAGAAGCCTGAAGACAAATGATTAAATTCAGGATTGCAATTTTATAAATAATATCCATTTCTTTTTATCTTGGTAAAATAAAAGAGCTGGCATGGCCAGACACAAGCCACCAGTTACTTGGGAGGTTGAGGCGGGAGGATCACTCAAGCCCAGGGGTTTGTGACCAGGCTGTGATACAGCAAGACTCCCATCTCTAAAACAATAAAATAAATAAGTAATAAATGAAAATTTAAAAATAAAGAATAACAGAGCTTGAAAGAGGCTGTGTATTAAGAATAAAGGACTTGTGAGCTAGCCAAAGACTCATGTAAACTGCTCCTACAGCAGATATGACAAAGTGATCAGCAGCCACTCAGCAGCGGGGCACGCAGACTTTCCTCTCAGGCATGAAAAGGCCTTGAAAGGCCCTGCCAACACCACAGTGCAGGGCAGAAGGAAGCAGCCACCTGGTGACTTGGCAGGAAGGATGGCATTTCTAGCTCAGCACTCCACCTGTGCTTCCTTTGCTGACCATGTGAGCCTAGCCCTGCAGAGACACCCGGACACCAGTGCTCATTAAATCATGCCCAAAGGGTCACTGTACAAGAGTTTGGTGTAACTGTCACTTTTCTTCCTTCATATAAAAGGGTTTTTAAATGTTGATGGTTAAGTGTCAAGTGATAATGAAAGGATGTTTTCCGTATGCGTAGTATTTTATGTGAGTTTAGCCAAGTGAATCAAGTAATTCTCTCATTCATCATCCTGTCCTTCTCTACCATGTTGAAGATCAATGGCTAATTGTAAGGTGCTCTGAAGATGCCAAAGTCCCTCCAGAGGTAAAAAGACATGAATATGGCAGCCTTTTCTCAGGATTTTGAGGAATGTGAGAAAATAAGGAGAACTCACATAGTTTTGGATTTTTGTGAACAGCCACCTATGGGATATAAGTAAATTTCCTTTTGTAGCCACTTGGCCCATTCAAATACCAAGACAGATATGAAGCCACAGTTTCAGGTTATCATTATAATTTACAAAGAAATGTTTTTAAGAATGTCTTTCATTTGGCTTTCTCTTTCCTGACCACCCCAAACTCTGTGATTGAAAAGCATATAAAATGAGCAGTTAGTGAAAAGCAATGATATAGATCATAGCTACTGTTGGAAACATCTCTGTGTGGTTTTTAGACAGATTTTTTAATCAGAATCATAACACTAAATAAAGCTGGAGCCAGTATGTTGTCTAACAAATATACTTGAGATTACACAGGTCATAGTTTGTATACTGAAAAAAACACTAGAAATCGAAAGACCCCGGGTTCTACCCCAACCCTGACACTCCAGCTCTTCCACTATGTATCACCCTTCTCAGCCCATCTCCCATCCTAGCCACCAAAGGCTGTGGATGCAAAGACAGGTGGTTGTACAAATAATCGGGGATGACAGAGCTTAGGCTTAGCAGGAGAAAACCCAGGAGAAGGTGATCAGGAGTTGAGGGCCTGGAGCAATTAGTCTGTTGAAAAACGTCTTGTTTCATTTTTCAGTTGTTTCCAGAAAGACTCACTGAGGTGCAGCGTGGATACTGGAAATGAGCCCCACACACCGGCGAGACCCATTATCTGTGGCTTTGCTTTCTGTGGTTTCAGCTACCCTCAGTCAAGGGAGGTCTCAAAATACTGAATGAAAATTCCAGAAATAAACAATTCATAAGTTTAAACTGTGGGCCGTTCTGAGTAGTATGTTGAAATTTCCCACCATCCCGCCCTGTCCTTATCCAGCATATCCACGCCGTAGACAGTGCTGACCCTTCGTTACCCAGGAGCCGTACCAATCATTAGATGGACGGTCAAGGTTTCGCAGTGCTTGTGTTCATGTCACTTCGTATGGCCCCAAAGTGAAAGGGTAGTGATGCTGGCAATTCAGATAATACCAAGGAGAAGCTGTAAAGTGCTTCTTTTAAGTGAAAAGGTAAAAGTTCTTGACATGATAAGGAAAGGAAGAAAACTATACGCTGAGGTTGCTAAGATCTATGATAAGAAAGAATCTTTTATCCATAAAATTGTGAAAAAGGAAAAAGAAATTCATGCTAGTTCAGCTGTCACGCCTCGAATTGCAAAAGCCATAGCATGTGACAGGTGCTTAGTGGAAGATAGAAAAGGCATTAAATTTGTGAGTAGAGGACATGAACAGAAATGTGTCCTGAGTGACAGCAATCAGGTTTAGTATTATCCATGGTTTCAGGTATCTGCTGGGTGTCTTGGAACATATAAGGGGGGACTACTGTCTATGTTTTAAAATAACAAATTATACACCAAGGAGGGGAGTTAGCTTCTAGAATGGCAGAATAAGGAACTTGAAAAACCAGCATAAAAGCAATGAGCACACTAACAAAAATTGTCAGAATGTACCTTTTCATAATTTTAGAAACTAACTAAAAGCTTGTAACAATCCAAAGTGCATTCATTCAAGAAAAACAGCTGAATCTTGGTAAGACAGTGAGCTTTGTGGTGTTAGCACTGGTGTTAATTTCATCCCTCTTTCCCCAGCTCTGTGGCTGTCATGAAAACCAACAACTCTCAACTATGGGAGATGAGAAAACCACCAGGATAAGATTCTGCCTCTGGAGGGGGCAGAATGAGTTTGGAGCTCCCCCAGAGCCCCATCCCCAGAGAACTGTCATTATTTAGCCTGTCTGGCAGTGCCCTGAAAGGCTCCATCTTTAGGGCCTGTCTTTATTTGATCTGACTCAGAGCTCATTCTGCTCTACCCCTAAAACATGTGTTTTAAAAAAAACATTAGCGGCAATTGTTTTAATCTTGCAGCTGTTGGAGGTGGTGTTATTGTTTGGGGCTAATGAGAAGCTGAAAAAACTGGGCAATAGGATGTCTACAGGAAGCACTGAAAAGTACCAACATATTCCTGAGAATGTATTATGAATTCCTGAGAGGGCTGTGGACACACACATGTGCAGGGCTGCGTGAACATCAGGAGGGAGCTAAGAAACCTTCGTGTCTTACCTCTGCCTAATTTTGAGGCTCTTCACAAGCTAGAAGTGAAGACACGGAATGCCTCAGGAAACAAAGGGAGATTTACTAGTTCCAGGCATCTAAGGACATTTCTGTCCCAACATTAGCCAACCACTAAGCTAACTGAGCTGACTCTGGTGGCTGCACATGCCAAAGAATACAGGTTTAGTATAAGAAAGTCATCAAACAAACAGCAACAAAAATCTAGGACTAGGGAGTCCAAGGGAGGAAAGGGGAGACCTGATTTTCACAGTTGGCACATGAAATTATTTAAAATGTCCAGTTTCAATAAAAAAATTGAGGCATGAAAAGAAGTAGGAAAGTATGATTCACACACAGAAAAAAAAAGGAATCAACAGAAATTGTCCGTAAGGAAGTCAGATGTCAGACTTGGTAGACAAAGACTTCAAATCAGTTATTTTTAATATGTTGAACACTGAAGGAAATCATATCTACAGAATTAAAAGAAAGGATGAAAACAATGTCTCATCAAATAGGGAATATCAATAAAGAGATAGAAATTATTTTTTAAAAGAACCAAACAGGCGGGGCGCGATGGCTCACGCCTGTAATCCCAGCACTCTGGGAGGCCAAGGCAGGTGGATTGCTCAAGGTCAGGAGTTCAAAACCAGCCTGAGCAAGAGTGAGACCCCTGTCTCTACTATAAATAGAAAGAAATTAATTGGCCAACTAAACATACATATATATTAAAAAAAAATTGGCCGGGCATGATGGTGCATGCCTGTAGTCCCAGCTACTGAGGCAGGAGGATCGCTTGAGCCCAGGAGTTTGAGGTTGCTGTGAGCTAAGCTGATGCCAGGGCGCTCTAGCCTGGGCAACAAAAGTGAGACTCTGTTTCAAAAAAAAAAAAAAAAAAAGAACCAAACAGAAATTTTGGAATTGAAAAGAACAATAACAAAAAATTCACTAGAAGGGACCATCTCAACAGCAGATGTGAACTGGTAGGAGAAAGAATGAGAGAGAGAGAGAGAGTGCGAGTGAGCAAGCAAATGAAATTAGTCTAAGTAAAAAGAATAAATAAAAATGAACAGAGCCTCAGCGACTTGTAAAACACCATCAAATATACCAAAATATGTATTAAGGGAGTCTCAAAAGGAGAGGAAAAAAAGAAAAAATCCTCAAAGAAATAATAGCTGAAAATTCCCAAATTTGACAAAAACCATTAATCTACACATCCAAAAAGCTCAAGGAACTCAAGTAAGATAAACTCAAAGACCCATACCTAGAACTAATAAACAAGCTCAGTAAGGTTGCCACAAGATCAATATAAAAAACATTTCCATACACCAGCAAGGAACATCTGAAAATGTTACCATTGACAGTAACACCAAAAAGAATACTATTCTTCAGAATAAATTTAACCAAAAATGTGTAGTATTTGTATACCAAAAACTACAAAGTATCACTGAAAGAAATTAAAGACCTAAATTTGACCAGGTATAGTAGCTCCTGCCTATAATCCCAGTACTTTGAGAGGCTGAGGTGGGAGGAATCACTTGAGGCCAAGAGTTTGAGACTAGCCTGAGCAACACAGTGAGACCCCATCTCTACACACACACCTACAGTCCAGCTACTCAGGAGACTGAGGTGGGAAGATCACTCATGCCCAAGGGTTTGAGACTGCAACCTGGGCAACAGAGTGAAACATTGTCCCTAAAACTTAATTAATTAATTAATGGAAAGCAACCCATGTTCATGGACTGGAAGGCTTTATATATACTTTATATTTTTTTTCCTTTTTTTCTGATTTTTTTTTTTTTACAGAAGAGCATTGCTATGTTGCTCAGGCTTGTCTCCAATTTCTGAGCTCAAACAATCTTCCTGAGAAGCTTAATATACTTCCGACAGTAATACTCCTCAGACTGATGTACAGATTGAACATAGCCCTTATCAAAATGCCAGCGGCTTTTTGTGCAGAAATTGGCAAGCTGATCCTAAAATTCATATGAATGAAGAAGAACCTGAATAGCCAAGACAATCATAAAAAATAACAAAGTAGGCCAGGTGTGGTGGCTCACACCTGTAATCCTAGCACTCTGGAAGGCTGAGGTAGGAGGATTGCTTGAGCTGAGGAGTATGAGACCAGCCTCAGCAAGAGTGAGACCCTATCTCTACTAAAAATAGAAAAAGTAGCCAGGCGTGGTCGCACATGCCTATAGTTCCAGCTACTCGGGAGGCTGAGGCAGGAGGATCATTTGACCCTAGGAGGTGGAGCTTGCAGTGAGCTACAATAATGCCACTGCACTTTACCCAGGGCGACAGAATGAGAATCTGTCTAAAAAAAAAAAAAAAGAACAAAATATTCAATACTACAAGGTAAAATATAATAAAAGTACTGAATATCCCACACAAAAGGCAATATTATTTTTCAAAATCCTCAGCTGTTTTATAGATCAGTAAAATTATCTGTCAATTTCAAAGATGGGGGAAATGCCCCATAATATATTGATGGCTAGAATTAGGTTAACTAGAAAGTGGATAGATAATAAAAGACATCATGGATTTTAAAAGGCCCCAAATAGAGGCTAAAGAACCACAGCAACGTTACCCACCTTTGAGCAGCAGCTGGTAGAACTGGGGCTCTATCGCTCCCACAGCCATGAACCCCCCGTCCGCTGTCTTGTACGTTGTGTAGAAAGGTGCCCCACCATCCAGTATGTTCTGTCCTCTAGGTTGCGTCCACAATTCTTGAGTTTTCCACAGAAAAGAACTTAGATACGCTGTTCCTTCCACCTTTGAAGAAGCAAAATACAGTATGAATCAAGATGATTCAAGTGTAAAAAGCATGATTAATTCCTATTTGGGTTTTTAAAAAATATTTGTGTAAAAATGCTTATTTTGGAGTATATGAAGATCATACCTAATTATACAACTTCTTTGATATTTCTAGAAAGTGAGTCAGAGCGAGTTTATGGCAGAATAACAATTGGCTACTCTATTCAGCCTTCTGTAACACTTAGAAGGAATTTATTTTGTTCTCCCTTTCAAATAAGATTGGCAAAATGTTGGTAATTTTCAAAGCTAGGTGAGAGTAACTTGGAAGTTCATTATTCTCTACTTTCATATATGTTAAAAAACCACCAGGATAAAAAGTTCAAAGTAAAGCAAAAGGGTTTTGAAAAATCCATCTTCTGATCTCAATACCTATAAACACATACACACAGGTATATGAAGCATATCACATTTTAAAGGAAATCACATTACAGTTAAATTTAGCTATTCTAGCTTGACTCCAATCCCAAGAAAATCATATTTAAGATTTAACATGCCTCATTTTTAATAATCACTAGAAAGTTACAAAATAAATTTAGCAATATGGGTGGCAAGTGTGCAGGTTTTCTGAGTCCCAAACAAACTAGTTTGGGCAAGTCATCTTACAAGGGAGTCCTGAACCAAAAGGAGTAAATCCACAGGCTCAGGTACATTTATCACAAGGGTCAAACTCCAAAGCTGGACGCACTGGGCTACCTAAAGGAGACTTCCCGATCTTTCTGGCTTTTATGATCCTAATGATTCTAGTACCCCAGGGAGAAGGCCATCAGAGCATCCTTGTCTCAGAGGTTACCAACAGAGGGGGTGCTGTTCCAACTGCTAGCTTGAAATTTCTCAGTTACTTGCTGTGGAACAAGTACAACTGTATCTTTGGATACACTCCAATTTTCCCTTCAACTTGAAATCTCATGCACACCTGAATTCATGGCTGTGATAACTGTTACCACCAAAGTTGAGTTCACATAAGTGGCCTATGGCAGTGCTTTTTTTTTTAAGACTGGGTTACACAGATCTTAGAGCATTCCACATTTATACACACACATATACATATGCATACATATGTGCACTATTTTAAATACATTTGATGCTTTCTGGTGCTTATGTCTAACGCTAAGTATATGTTTAGATGTGTACTATACCAAATTCTGACACATCAGAGCCACAATTTATTGACATTTATTATTAGCATCTCCTTCCAATTTTGCATAAATTTGACCTTGCCTTTAAAACACTCTTAAGGAAAACTTTTGTTCTGCATACATCTTTTCCCCTATCAATTTGGGTCTGCTCACAAAACCCAATAATTTAGTACCTATTGTATGCGAGTACCTGCTTTCTGTTCAGGCCTTACCCCCAACAAAACCTCATAGTCAATGGGGAAATAACAAAGGAACTTGAAGCAAGTCAGTTTGTCATATTAGAGAGAGTTTTGACAAACAGTGCTCAATACTGCTTATTGGACTTTTGTATTCAGGTCAAAGAATGTGAAAAGTTTTTAGATACTGTAGTGAAACAAGACATTTCTTTTCTGCTTCATCATAAATGAAATAGAATCTGAAATTTGAAGCAAGCTACTTAAAAATGATAGATATTTCTAGCTAATCCCTGTGACTCAGGATTTTCCTAACATTGGGTCCAAAACAAAATGTAGTAACAAACTGAATACTTAGAAAGTGATGAGAACATCACCCATAAGCCCTAACTTCAAGTGTTTTGTGTTCATCAGAATAGCTTCATTGGTCTGACAGCACAATACATAAACACTGAATATATAAACAGAACATAAAATAGATTTATGCTAATAAAATATAACCTCTTTTATACGTGGATGTCCTGATGAAATACAAGTGCACTATCTTGCTTGTTAGACCAGTAACCAAGTGTTACGGGTCTAGTTTGGCTCACTCAGGACAAAAACAGGCTGTGATCGAATCCTATCTGTACTTAGCATCACAGGAAGGTATAGGACAAGAGATAGCAGAAACAATCCCCATCTCATCCTGCAGCCTGGTGGTAGCTACCCACGCACGTGGCTTCTCTTGCCCCCTCACCCACACACCCTGAATGCTGCCACAACCTTGGAAACTGTTCCATCACGTAGGCTAGCATCCAGCAGTCCAACCCTCAGCCACCCCCATCAGCTGCGCTCCCCTAGATCAGGGGTTAAGTACAGCTAATGGACCCCACATCCCATAATTATCTTAACTACAGTTTCCAAGGAAACAGCACTAGGAAAAGTTTTCACAAGCAGGCCTGGGTCAAGGATCCTGCTGCCAAGGATTTGTGAAAACTACTGGCCTACAAGAAAGTATCCACTTCCCCTTAATCAGCTTTTACAACTGTGTCATAAGGGTTCCCGGTGATGAAGAAGTAATTAATACAATTTACTGATCAGTTTGGCCTTAATCAGCCAACATGAACCTGAGGAAAGTTTCATATATGCTAACACCTTACCATCTCCTAATCATTATGTAATTATGATTAGATATGTACCGATGAAAGCAGCAATCACGTTCTGCTTACATTTGACTATAAATAATCAATTGCATGTATTTAGTAAATTATTCAAATTATTACTAGATAAGTATTTAGCCTCAAATTCTCCTTAACACAAGGTTTGCTCTCAGTTTATTCCTTCTGGACTCCAGGGACTGCAGTGCCCACTGCGGGCAACAGAGAGAAGTGATTGAAAGCTGGAGCTGTAGGGTCAAACTGCCTGGGGGCAGTGCTTGTGACCCTTTCCACCAACTGCTTTATTGTCATTTTTCTTTTAGAGACAGGGTCTAGCTCTGTCACCCAGGCTGGAAAGCAGTGGCACAATCATAGCTCACTGCAACCTCGAATTCCTGGCCTCCAGTGATCCTCCCATCTCAGCCTCACAAAGTGCTGGGATTACAGGTGTGAGCCACCATGCCCAGCCCTCCACCTGCTTTGGAAGAAGGCAGTTGACCTTTCTGAGCTGTAACGTCTTCAATGCCATATGACAGTGAGGGTAGCTCCCTCAGGAAGTTGTGTGGATCAGAGGAGGGAGGCCACAGGGAAGGGTCCCAGCCTTGAGCCTGGCAGGGAGCGACGTAAAGCCAGTGCTGCTCCGCTGCCATCTCACACTGAGACTGTGCCAGGACCGCACCAGGAGCTGGTCATATGGGATAAACCACACTCTGCTACTACTGAAATACACTTCGGGAGGGGGGACCAAGGGCAATGAGAGATGTGCCCTGACAATGGTATCACAAGGCACAGACTCAGTCCAGGGTTAGGCGTGATTCATCCACGAGGAGAAGGGAGCAGGGAGTTAAGGCTTCTGAGATGAGGACACTCTGGTAAATGGATTTTGCAAAGGTCACCAATGACCTGATCCAACTGATTCCTCAGTCTTCAAACTCTTGAGGTATCCCCCAACATCTGACCCTCTGCCCTTTCCTTTTCCTTGGTTTCCAGGACAACACTCCCTTCTGGTAGTCTACTTCACTCTCCTCAGCTTTGCTTCTCTTCCCTGCCCAGTGCACCTGTCCCCTCCCCTAGTGGGCCACACAGTCTCATGTGGCTCCCAAATTACTCCCACATGACTCCAAAATCTATTTCCAGTCCCTAACCTCAAGAATTCCACCCAGATATATGAAAGGCATGTCAAACTTAAAATGACCAAAACTGAATTCCCTTTCTTCTAGTGAAGATAATCACAATGACAAACTCGTACAGAGTGCCTGCTCTATGCCAGGCACTGTTTACACACTGGACAACAGATGAACTCACTTTTCTAACAAGATTATGAGGTAGATGCCATTATCTCCATTTTACAATAGAAACTGAGGCACAGAGAGGTTTAGTAACTTACCCAAGATCACAGGGCTGGTAACTGGCAGGGCTGGGATGGAGGCAGCTGGCTGCCAGAGTCTGTGCTCGTGACCACTGCTCCACACTGCCTCGTCCTGCAGTAAGCAGTCTTCCCGCTGAGTGCCAGCGACACCTACCCACCAGGTCATCCAAGCCAGAAATACGGGCACCAGCCCTAATTCCTCCCTCTTCCTTCCCTGCCATTCCATCACCAATTCCCAACAATTTTACAGCTCAAATATCCCTTAAATCCAAACCAACCCTACCATTATCTGCTTTAGTACTGCTCTGATCTCTTCAACAATAACCCAGTAACTGGTTGCTCTGCCCCCAGCCTCATCTCCCTCAAATCCATTCTCCATCCCACCCCCAAATGTCTGTGAAAATGCAAACAAGTAGTGGTACTGGATTGGACTCTCTTACCAACTAGCTGTGAGACCTTGGGCAAATGACTGTGCTTCAGTTTCCTCCTCTTTCAAATAACAATGTATTCCAAATGAAGCTGTTGTTTCAAGGATTAGAAGAAATCGCACAAGGAAAGAGCTCAGCAGAGCATGAGGCAAGCACCTGACGTATAGACAGTGAACAAACAGAAGCATTATGGCGTCGGACCATCCCCTACAAAACGCAGCAGGGAGGTCTAAACGGGAAAGTCCATTTTACTTCAGCATCCTCAAGAATGTTCTCTACCTACTAAGGGAGACTTCTTGAACTCGGTTTTAAATGAGGATTGCTTTGAAACTATGTTCTAAGCTCAAGAAATAACTTGGGGAAAATATAATACAAGAATCAGGTAAGTCACAAAAAGTTTTGAAAAATGACTCCACAAACAGGTTGTCAAAATATGACATTCTGACACATATTAAAGGATATGAGGCTATTTTAAAGAAAAGGACATCCTTGGTAACTTGGATTCAAACTTCAAATTTCATTTATCTCTTGTTCAAAAAGAGATTTGAGGCAACCATACATTGTACTTAGGAATAAGTGGCAGGACTATCATTGCCCCCAAGTAATACTTACCATGCTTGCATCAATGACCTGACCTTTACCCGAGCGTGTGCGTTCAAAAAGAGCCATCATAATGCCCAAGGCGCACATGAGGCCACCGCCACCAAAGTCAGCCAGGAGATTCAGCGGCGCATACGGATTCTCACCACTTCTGCCAATTTTGGATAGAACACCTACATCATTAAAAATAAATCTGTCTCTTTCAAATTTAATGTCTCTTTTAAAACAAACATGAACATTTTAGAGGAGTAACCAATCTCCCTAGTCACTGATTTAAGTGAAAACTAATACATAACACTTTTCCAAATCTGAATCTATTCAGCAAACTTATAAATAGGCTTTTGCACAAGAGAGGCTCCTTATTTTGTTGGTTTCTACCTCTCTAAAACTTTATTCCAACTGACATTTTCAAAATCTTATTGATAAGTTTTTACTTACTGAGTTTTGGGGAAAAATGATTGTTGTCAATTTATATTGTGGCTTGAAAACACTATAAAGCACTTTCATTCTCATTGGAAAAAGATGTAAGAAAATCATATGTAAGAAAAAGAAAAGGGATTAAATTTTAAAATAGATGTGAAAAGCCAATTCTAGACCCAATGCTTTCCTCAACCTTTAAATGTGTACTCACAGAAAACCTGAGATTTCCTTTAGTCAACAACACACAGTTCTTAGAATTCTAGAATCAGGCCATTCACATAGGGAAAAATTCTAATCAAGTGATATTAGGACATCAAAACTAAGGTCTTTTTCTAGTGTTGATAGAAGTGTGAAATGATGACTCAGGCAACGATTCTCAACAGAGGTGGTGGTAGGGGGCTGTCAGAGTGAAACTATATCGATGTTTTCAAACTCTAGAGGAACCATCCCTACTACCACTAAGTCTCTTAATTCCCCCAGGGGCTTGTCTGAGCATTGACTCCACAAATGTAGTAAATAAATGCTACTAGTGAGAATTTATTATCTTCTAAATATGTTAAGATAGGGGAGAGGGGAGGTTCAGAATGATTGTTGCAAAACCCAAACCAACCCATCTTAAACAACTATGTTTTCCTTATTGATTCTGATAAATATTTAAATCTTCAGCTTTAAAATTTTTTGTTAATCAATGTACCTGTAGATCCTGACTAGAAACAAATTAAAAGTGTAGAAAATTTATTTTTTCTTTCCGCATACCTGACAAAGCCAAATAGTTGATATCATGGCCAGCTAGCCTGGAGAATCTTCCTGACTGGCCAAATCCACTCAGCCTGGCATAGATAAGCTTTGGATTCTCCCGATGCAGAATGTCTGGGCCGAGCTGGAGTTGCTCCATGACACCTTAAGAGAAAAATAACAATTTTAAGAGACAAATTGAGGATGGGAATAATTTCTGTCTGAGGAGAACATTAAATAGCGCTCTTGCAAGTAATACTATTAATAACATTGGTTATGGGCTGATAGCATGTTTCCAGCAGTTAAGAAGCAAAAGAGAAAAATCACCATTTCTGGAATGTATATAGCTTCAGGATGTTATTTCTTCTAGCACTTCCCTATTTCCCTCTAGGTATGCCAAGCCCACTCAATCTCCTAAGCGGCCATCTCATCCCTTTGGTCAGTCGTTTTTTTCCCTATGTCAGCATCAGCTCCTACCACCTCCTACCTCACACCGTGCTTATATATGCACATGCCCATCTTCCCTACCAGCGCAGGAGCTCTTCTAGCACACAGGCCCCTAGCATCAGTACCTTCTCGAAAAAGGCTTAGTACATACATATAGGTGGAAAGGTTAGCTACAATGGCACCTGAGAGCTTTTAAACTACCATGTTTCCCCTAAAATAAGATAGGGTCTTATATTTATTTTTCCTCAAGAAGACACCCTAGGGCTTATTTTTAGGGGGTGTATTATTTTCCCTTCAAAGCCTCAGCTTGCAGCACACAGAGGATGGCTGTATGGGGGAGCCGACCTTGTTGGTGGCACTGCCCAAACCTTTCTGGTCACCTCTGGGGATAGCAGCTGTCACCATGGGGCAGATAAGGGCTGCCTGTCTTCTTTACCGCTCTGCGACAAAATGCATGGGTTGTGCAGATACGCTGCGTAGCCACGCCCATCACTAGGTCTTACTTTGGGGGTAGGGCTTATATTGCGCAAATGCTTAGAAATCCTGCTAGGGCTTATTTTATGGGTAGGTCTTATTTTAAGGGAAACATGGTATTAACAAGCAGTAGACCATTTATTTGCAAAACACCCAGGTAACTCGCACCTAAAGTCTCCTGGCATTAAAAGTAATCAAGATTACATAATCAACTCACTGTCTTCATCTTTCTAAGACTATAATAAATCCCAAGAACCCCATAAACACTAGCTACAACCCCTCACCTGGAGGCTACATTCCTACTCACAGCTCTACCTTCCTCCTAATTACAAAATCTTGGACAAATTGTTTAACCATCCTGAGTCTCCCTCTTCTTCAAATAGGGCATTATCAAATCATGATATAATCCTAATTATTAAATTATTATTGTTACAATCTTCAAATATGGCTGTGAAGGTTAGATGAGTTAATACAGTTCAATAAACCTGGCATTTCATAGCAGTCACTCAATTCATTCACCGGCTATTTACTGACTTCTTGCTATAGACCAGGCTTTAGATTTGTACTTGAGCAAAATTACTCTGGCAGCTATCTGAGAAAGAACTGGAGTGATACTAAACCCAAACATCAGTTTTTAAAATGTTATCACACTTCTGCCAAGGCAGATTTAGCAGGTATGGAAAGAAAGAATGCCAAGTCTGGCAAAGCAAGAGTGACTGGATTAATGATCACTGAAATCAGGTGGGGTGAAAGGAACATTGGAGCCAAGAACGAAGTACAGGTTTCTGCTTCAGGCAACTAGGTGGATATTGGTTCCATTCACTGAGATAAATTACACAGCAGGAGGAGATGCCACTTTAGGGGAAAAGAGAAAAGGCCGGGTTTGGGATGTGTGGAAGTTGCCTGGGGAGGGCCAGATGGCACTGTCCAGGACCTGTGGATGCCAGCAGTCTGCAGCTCTGAAAGAGTGGGGCAGTTACACATTTGAACATCACCTGTCTATAAAAGGTGAAAACAAAGGGAACGAATAAGTGGCTCTGAGAAGCTGAGCGCAAAGTAGAGAAATGAGCTGATGCTGAAACTTGGGAACACCAGCATTGAAGGCTGGGAGCGTTAGCCTGGCTCCGCGGGTGGTTTGAAAAGGTACATCACCCCCAAACAATTGCTAAATGACTATGAACCCGTGTGCAGCCTACCCAGGAGAGAATCTATGGCTTTCAATGGATTCTCACAGGGCTCAAGACCCTCAAATAATTAATAAAGGCAAATACAGAAGAGTTATTAGAAAAATAGAGGGACTTGGGAAGAAGTCAGAGCGGCAAAAGGAGAAAAGAACCGCAGCAGTATCCCAGAACCCGTTTTCGAGAATCGTCTCAAGGGACGAATGATCACAATCAATACTAAATGAAACAGAAAGGTCCCGAAAGGCTAGGACGGACAAGGGCTCCTGTGGCAACAGGGCAAAGGTGTGGCGGGCGCGGCCTCAGTGACTCGGCCAGCCCCGCGCTTCTGCAGGCAGCCTCCCGCGTCCGCCGGGGCTCACCGCGGCGGAAGGGCTCCAGCAGCACGTCGGCCTGCGCGCACAGGCGCCGCAGCACCGCCGCGCCCCGCGGCCGCTTCAGGTCCAGCACCAGCGAGCGCTTGCCCCGCGACAAGTGGCTCACGTCGCCGATCGCGCGGGGCCGGTCCACGCGCACCACCTGCGCCCCAAAGTCGGCCAGGATCATACCGCAGAACGGGCCCGGGGCCAGGCCGGCCAGCTCCACGACGCAGACGCCCCTCAGCGCCATGGCGGCTTCCAGCCGCACCTGAAAGACAAGACCGAGGGACCCGCGGCCCCGGCAACCGCCTACCTGCCGGATCCCTCAGCAGGCCCCGGCGCACCGCCCCCAGCGCACTCCCTCCCTCGTGCGCCTGCGCGCGCCCGCGGAGCCTGCGCACTGGCGCGCTTCCCTGCGCCCCCTCTCGGAGTAGCTGACTGCAAGGCGGGAAGCTGGTTGCCAAGTCCATCAGTTTCTTTCCTTTTCCTCAGGTCTTACATTGGAGGGGTTGACCTTGGGAATTCTGCCCTGTCACGGTCCTCTCAGGACGCTTTGATTCTCGCCATGGCGATCCCCAGCCCTTGTGCCATTTGAGCCCCTACTCCTGCCCGCCCCTAGAGAAATGAAAGTAGTAATATATAAATGCGTATAAACAATGCCAAGGCATTTCCTTCCGTATGTTGCAGGTTGTCTCCTTCACTGCTCCTACTTCTTAGCTAGCTACCCTGTAATTTCATCCAGAAGCGGTTTGGGATCCCTCCTAGATGCGTTCCTATTGAGTTACAAACAGCGAGTTACACGTCTAAAAAAAAAAAAGTTCACTACTACACTAGGGAAACTTAGAAGAACTTGAAAGGGTGTAAGTGATGCTCATGAGAGCGTTAGAAACCTTTTTTGATTTGTCATCTACCATGTCTATGAATAATTAACGATTTCCAGCTTTCAACTGTAATACACGATCTTTTTTAAAACTACAATAAAACAAATAATCGCAAATAAATAGTCTCACTACTTTTACAAATCACTTTCTCTCTTCTAGGTATAGTGTGTGTGTAGGTGGCCTAGCATCATTTTTGACGTCTCTAAGAATTTGAACGGAGCTAGAAGTGGGTGCCAGAGAAATCTCTGCACTAATCCTTAGTATTGCTGGGTTTATGTATTTTGAGGCAGGTGATAAAATCAAAAGCAAAACTTGGCACAGTTGTCATCAAGATCTTTTAGGCAATACTTGATGAGTTTCAGAATTACTTGAGGTCTCTTGTGGCTTTCCCTATGAGGAGTTGCCTCCCACTACAGGCAGGTACCTTCTCTTTTCCTCTTTTCCTCCATCTCTGATGTTCTCCTTGCCTGTCTCTGTCTCTTGTTCCTACCTTTGTTCATGTCTAAGTTTCCTTACCCCCACCTCTTTTGTTTTTATTCTAAGAAACTTAGAAAGAGAAAATTACAAAGAATGATATAGCAGATACCCAGATTGATACATTAATATTTCATCCAGGCCAGTCATGGTGGCTTACACCTGTAATCCTATCACTGTGGGAGGCTGAAGCAGGAGGATCGCTTGAGGTCAGGAGTTCAAGATCAGCAAGACCCATCTCCACTAAAAATACAAAAATTAGCCAAGTGTGGTGACATGCACCTGTAGTCCCAGCTACTTGGGAAGCTGAGGCAGGAGGATTGCTTGAGCCTAGGAGTTTCAGGTTGCTGCGAGCTAGGCTGATGCCAGGGTACTCTAGCCCAGGCAACAGAGTGAGACTCTGTCTCAAAAAAACAACAACAACAAAAAACACAACATTTCATCCCAATAGTACAGATATAGCTTGAGCTTGAGCTAACACCTAGGATCAGATTCACATGAATCAGAGATCTTACCTAGCAACAAACTTTACTAATATAAAGATATGGGTCAGCAAAAGGCTCAGACAAGGCAGATAGAGGTCTGGGAAATCTCACATGACTCTTCAGATCCTTCCTTCCTGCATGGCATACATACTCTTTCTTACAGGCTGAACTGTTTCTCTTTCTTGTGCCCCTTTACCCCACTGCTCAAGAGCAACCAACTTGTTATTTTAAAAAATCAAACATTTATCTTGTCTCTCATATGAATAGTATTTCAGAATAACCAAACAGTTAATGAAAGAATGTCTTTCCTTAACATTTTCACTATTTTGCTACTCCCAATAAAATAGTAGATTTAAGCTATAATCATAAATGGCTGCTAAAAAAATTAGGCAAAAAGCCAATGGAGGGATGTCTTTGTCCATTCAGCTGCTATAACAAATCACCATAGACTAGGGAGGCTCAAACAGATATTTATTTCTTACGGTTCTGGAGGCTGGAAAGTCCAAAATCAAGGTGCTGGTAAATTTGGTTCTTGATGAGAGTACCCTTCCTGGCTTCTCATAATGTTCTGTGGCAGGCTGACTCTAAGAAGGCCCTAAATGACTCCTTCATCCTAGAATTCATTCCATTGTGAAATTTGAGTGTGGGCTGGCCTGGTGACTTGCTGTTAACCAATAGAATGTCACAGGGTGATGGGATGCCACTTCCATGGTTAAGTTCAGTGATTGTATCCTTTGTCTTGCTAGCAGACTTTCTCTATTGCGTTTTTAGCTTGTACGCTTTGATGAGGTAAGCAGTCCTTTGGACAAGCCTACATGACTAAAGATCTGAGGGCAGCTCTTAGACAACAGCCAGCAAGGAACTGAGTCCCTCAGTCCAACAACCCTCAAGGAACTGAACTCTGCCAGCAGCCTTAGGTAGTGTGGAAGCAGATCCTTCCCCAGTCGAGCTTTCAGATGACCCAGCCCTGTTCTGCACTTTGATGGCAGCCCTGGGAAATACTCTGAAGCAAAGGTTCTAGCTAACCCATGCCTGGACAGGACTCCTGACCCACAGAAACTGTGAAATAATAAATGTGTGTTATTTTAAGCTGCCATTTTGTGATTGTTATGTATTGGTAGATAATTAAAACATGCAAGAACTAGTTTATTCTTTATAACAACGCTTTGAGCTACATGCTAAGAGACAGCCCAGTTTTACAAATGAGGAAACTCAGGCACAGACATTAAGTAACTTACCCAAAGTAACTCACCTACACTAGCAGGGGAGGGTCTTTTTATCCTACCCCACAATATTCCCTTGACACGTAAGAGTCAAGATGAGTGACATGATGGTGTGGGTGTGTTTTTGTTGTGTTGATGCAGGGGAAGTGAGGGTGGGAAGTGAGGGTAGGAAATAGTTGTAAGACAGTATACAAATGCAGGATGTTACTATGTCCATATCTCTGGGTTAACACTTACCATCCAAGCAGAAGTCATGCTTCTTTACCTTGTGTGGGTCCTACAAACATTTGGAGAAGAAATGGGGGGGTGTATAACCAGCATTAGCTAACTGTGAAAGTTGCAGATACCAAGATGAAATCACTTTTGTTAGATCCAGACAAAATAAGGTTAGGAAGCCCCCAAAATGAGAAGGCTTATGATCCCGTGTCTGAGATAAGAACTGTTTCCAAGGACTTTCTAAAAACCCTCTCCTGTCATTCACACATCTCCTGCTTTGATAAGGTTTTATCACTAGACATTCCTTAGGACCCTGTAATTCAGATAAGACTTCTCTAAAGAACACTTGCCCAGTAAAGGAATCTCCATCAATGAACTGACAACAGCTCTGGCTTTGAACCTCTGGAACCAATAACCTCTGTTTCTAAGCAATTTATGCAAATATTTTTGCTAACAAAAGCTCTTCTTGCCCTTCCCTTACTTAGTGCACTGGTGGTTTGTCATTCTGTGCATTCCAGTTATAATCCTTTTTTCTATTCCCAAGTAAACCCAACATATTTAAAGATAATTTTCTCTAGTATTTTTTTATAAGGTTCACATAATCAATTCTTATTTCCCAAAGAAGGAAAATGTGAACCCCTCAAAAATCCCCAGTTTTCAACAAATTGATTTTCCTAAAACATTGCCCTGATTACATGAAACCATTGATCACAAATTAACAGTGACTCCTTAGCTGCTAATTTAAGTGCAGGCCTCACCTTGGCATCAAAAGCCTATGATGTTTCTTCTGTCGTCCACTTCTAGCCTTATGTGCCTTAGCCCTCTATGAGTAATTCATTCCAGGCAGACTCCACATTATGCTGTTGTCTATACATAGCCTGCAATTTCCCTGCTTCTCTGTCTTTTTCCATACTATTTTTCCCTGTGTGGAACACTTTGTGTCTCATACTGATGAATCAAAATCCCACCTATCTGCAATATTTCAGGCATTCTCAAATAATGCTAGTAGGAGTGTGGATTTTTTGGAGGGCAATTCAGCAATATTTATTGGCAATGTCGAACGTTATCTGAGCCCTGTGTTCCTGGAAAAGCACTTAAGAAATCCTGCCATCCTTTTGTTCTGGGAAATGCTTGGCTTGCTGCAAAAAATCACTCTTCCTTTTATAACTTAAAACTTTCTTATTAGCCTAAGATAGGGCCAGACACGGACCTTCTAAATTCCCTCTTTTTTTGGTCTCATAAAGATTAGCTGACATGTTTGTTGAAAAGTTTAATCTGAACAAAATGACAGCTAACTTGGACTTGGCCAAACTTTAGTAGGATTTCTCTCCTTTGCTCAGACCCCTCAACTTTGGCCCACCTTGGCCACTGGGACAGGGAACAAACTCTCCTTAATGGCCCCTCTGGAGAACTGGTTGAGCTCAGGGAAAAGCATTCTCCGATCCTCTGTCCCTTCAGCATTGCCACTCATCTCGTCCCCACACCTGGTTCTTTCTAGCCTTGTTTACATCTCCCTATAAAAGAAAGTCCATTTCTGCCAGACCACTGAGCTGCAGATGTCATGGTCTCAAGGATCTGGTAGGTCTCAGAGCCTTCTTCCTGTTGCAATAGTCTCCTTCCTCTAATAGAAATAATTCTTTTGAATAATGTCTCTCCTTACCTAAGGCTAACTCAGTTTTTTATTTGACACTATTAACAACTTAAAAAATATCTAGACTTTTTCACCAATTCCACTTCTAGAAATTTAATCAAGGAAAATAATTGCATGCATATAATTTTTTTAAAAGAATCATCATGACACATTATTTTTAATTAAAAAAAAAACCCTAGAAACAGCAAAAATACTTCCCAAAACAAAAAGGTTAAATAAATTATGCAGCCATTAAAATTATGTTTACAAATGCTCCTTAATAGCATTTGAGGATTCTCTTAATAATATTCTCTTAGGCCAAACCAGAGAGCAAGATACAAAAATATGTAAAAAGCTAATGTCAAATGGTTTGTTTCATTACTATGCTTAAGAATAAAAGTCTTAAACATATGCAGAGAAAGACTGAAATAAATACTTCAAAAGGTTAATATTTAACATTTGGTGGGATGATTAATTTAGTAAAATTTTTATCCTAAATACTTTTATGTATTGTGTAAGTTTTCCATAGTGGGTATTTTTATATAATGAGAAAAGAACAAGATATTTTTAAAAATATAACACTCCAAGCATAACAAAGCAAGAAATTGTGTCTGGCCATCAAATATTACCTTTTTCCATAAGCTTTTTTTATACTCTCAGCTGGATATTATTTCTCTTCCCTGTGACTCCCTAGCTCTTTGCCTTCTACAGCTGGTAAAACAATCTATTTTACACTGTATCATCCATATACCTCTTCTACATCCATGTACCTTTAACCTACTGTCCCCTATGAGGCTGAAAACTCAGGGAAGGTAAGAATTGCTAAATGCCATAGTAGCACCTGAAGTAGCACAGTATCTTGCATACAGTAGATGTTTATCAATTCTAGCCACACCACACCTGTAATCCTAGCGCTCTGGGAGGCCAAGGTGGGAGGATGGCTCAAGGTCAGAGGTTGAAACCAGCCTGAGCAAGAGCGAGACCCCATCTCGACTATAAATAGAAAGAAATTAGCCAAACAACTAAAAATATATAGAAAAAAATTAGCCAGGCATGGTGGCACATGCCTGTAGTCCCAGTTACTAGGGAGGCTGAGGCAGGAGGATCACTTGAGCCCAGGAATTTGAGGTTGCTGTGAACTAGGCTGATGCCACGGCACTCTGGCACTGGCAACAGAGTGAGACTCTGTCTCAAAACAAAACAAAACAAAATTCTAGCCACATGCTTTGGAGTTTACATTTGCATATTCCATGCTCTGAATTATTGTTTCTTACTTCAGCTTTTATTCATGATATGCTCAATAAAATTCCTTCTATATAATCTATTCATTGTTCAAAAGTCAAGTATAGAGGTTTGACTGGAAATATCCACATTTCTACACTGGAAAATCACCCACACTGATCATCATACGAAGCAGTTCTATACTGTTATTGCATTTCTGCAGCAACCCATGTGCTTCGCTTGCAGGGTTGCTTTTATTTAAGGTTTGGAATTTAAAAGTTGGTTTATTAGATGAGACATTGAAATTTCCTAGACACTTACCTACTATCTCCTTTTTAGCCCCTCACTTTCAGCACCTCACCTGATTTCACACTTGTAAAATTAGCCTTCCAGTTATAATTCTGGTCATAGGTCAAATTGTGAAAACAATGAAAATCATCTTGTCCATCTCCCATCATCCTTGTGAATCACTTTCCCTCATGTCTGGGACTTATTTGCGAGCCTAAGATGCTTTCCAGTTGCCCACAACCAAACCTTGGGCATTTCTAAAGTGAAGACATACAAAGACTTCAAGTGTGTAATGAAATCCCCTTCCCCTCAGAAATATTCAGATTATATTAGCGGATCCTCTGAACATCAATGTTTTAAAAGGTTGAAATTTGAACAATTACTGAAAAGTGAAGTTTTTTGGAGACAGATGACCTTGCTCTATACCCATGTCACAGATTTGCATAGCTGTTCACAACACCTGCATGAAAATATTTTAACTTTGTGTTAACCATAGTGACTTGCAAATGCATGACTATTAAACTCTATTAAAAACATTAAAAAACAATGCAAAGGTGTGTTTATTTCCATAATGTTGTTTATTACATTTTTCTTGCCATAGTTTTATCTAGACCCAGTTCAAAATCTTCTAAGGCACATATTAGTAACGCATGCTCTTCAGATATAAAATCCTTTGGTCAACATGCAACATTCAAATATCTATCGGCAACATACTTCTACAAAATATTTACAACATTTGGCAATAGTAAACCTTAACCCCATGATCCCACAGCCTAGGGGAGGCTGGGGGCATATATAAAATCATTACTGGTCAAACACTAATGTCATATCCATTCACTTTAAAACATCATTATATGTGGATTCAGGACGAGTTCAAAAATAATCGTGGGTCAAAGGTATGGAGGGCACTGAGTTAGCCAATAGGGCAGCCCTAATTAATTCTCTCTGGCTCTAGCTTTAGGGGTAATCAAAACAAGTAAACCCATAGTTTAAAAGTCTATGTGGAAATTCAGATTGTAATAGAAAATAAATTAAGGGCTCATTACTTCAAAGGAAATTCATTATATAACATTTTTTAGATGGGCATCTCTCTAGTGCTTTTTAAAATTATATTTTAAATTGTGTAACTGAAGTTATCTAGTACATTTTAAATATGATTCAGCATCAGGGTAAACTCATATTCCAGTGATGCTTTCTTGCCTAAAATAGACCAATATGGGGTATTAACTTGGGGCACTGTCTTCAGAACTTATGGTACATTCTTAGGAATATCCTTCTGGTAGCAAATTTAATCCTTCGATTTTGGGATAGGGAGGCACAAGCCAAAGCCAAGTGGCACCTCTTATAATGCCTGTTACAAACAAGCTGCTCTGCGAATACTGGTTAAATACAGTAATCAATGAAACCATATTCTTTATTGAATGAAACATTAAGACATTGTCTTGCATGTTTCTTCAATGAAATAGTCTTACATTTTGCATTCGGTAGTTTGAATGTATACAGTTTAGTTTACAGTCCCTTCAACATGAAATAGTGTGTGTAAAGTATAAACATACTGGGGTAATTTTGAAATTTAAGAGAAAAGAATGTGACATCTGTCCTGTATGGAACTTGGCTCATCTCAGCTGGTTCCACGGGACAGAGTCAACAAAGATTTACTGTAAGTCAAGAAACACAATAGCAAAGAGTCAATCTGACAAGCCAGATCTGATAAACCCAATTCCAGATCATAAGAAAATCATATTTCTAAAAATGCATACCATTAAAAGTCAAGATTTAATTACAGAAGCATCTTTTTTTTTTTTAAAAAAAGAGCCAATTATTTGTGGGCATTGTAAATACTTTCACTATCTAAAAACTATCTGGAATTACTCAAAAAAATCTATATTTTATTCATGAATATTGACACACTGGATCGAAGTGTTGTTTTCCAGTTTAGGCTTTACGGATGTTTTGGGTATGTAGGTCCTGGCAAGTTCACCTGTTCTTGCTCTAGTCCGAACATGATCACTGCACCCCATTCTCTGAATTGTTACAAAGAATGATGAACTCAAAACTTCAGGGATTCCTGAAAGCTGGTATTAAATTAAAAACGAAGCAGCCAAAACTCTTTGCAAATGACTTCTCTGATGGGAACAATTATTTCCAACTTGTGTCAGAGGAGAATTCTCCTTCAGGTGTCTAGGGAAGAGTGATAAAAATGCTAAGTATATTAGTCAAGGTCATCTGGGAACACTGTTTTGTGGTTTATTCTTCCGAGCCCCTGAGTCATCCAACATTATTGATATACCTGTAGCATGATTATCAATGTAAATAATACCTTTTTTTTTTAGTACGGCATGTAAAACCCTCACATTTAATGTTTCTCAGATCATAACTTTACGAGCTCAGCCGCAAGGCTTCCCCAAACTGGAGCTATCGTACTCATGTATTTACTTAGTTTCAAAGAGCAGGAAGCCGGCAAAGGTGGAGAAGCGTTGGTGATCCCCATGGAGCGCGCCGTTGCCCATTCTCAGCCAGACCTCATCCCCTTTGGCCAGCTTCAGCACAGCATGGTTGCTGGATGTGTCTGATTTCCCCTTTGTTTCATAGCTGGAAAGGAAAAGAGGCAACAACTACTCAGTCTTTGCGGTGGACAGCCAGCTTGTCACCAAAATCTGTCCTCCTCCTCTCACGTGCTTAAGTATAGTCCTGAGATTAAGTTCTCTAAACAGCATGTGAGCAGAAATGACATGTGCCATTTCTAGGGCTGGCCAATAACACGCTCGCAAACACCCCTCCTTGCTCCTTCTTCATTATGACTGTCTGGAATGATAATGACAATGACTAAAATCACCTTGGAAGCCATGTGTGGACGTCTAGGTTCTTGAAGACTGTATAGAAAAGAACACTCTCTCCCCTGTCCCAACCCGAAACATCTGCTCTGGGCTGTTAGAGGAGAAGAAAGTTCTAGCATGTTTGAGTCATTACATTAGGTATTTGTTACAGCAGCTCAGCTTCCCTCAACTAATCTAGAATCTGGTACTAAAGGAAGGTGCTGACATAACCCAAATGAAACTATGTTGCATTGGCTAATGGGCAGGCAGGAGCAGCGAGGAAACAAATACTGTGGGTTGGAAAGCCGAAGACCCATGCTATGCTGTGGCAAAACATTTGGGAAAACGCAATAATTTGGAAGATGGGCCTATTATTGCCTGCACACTTAGTAAAGGAATGATTGGAAAAGCCAAACTACTCTCTGCTGCTTTTGAAAAGATGTTTCTGCAAAATATGAGCTTAGACTAGAACTGACATGCTTGAAGCAGAGGGAGTCTAGACAGTTGGGACATAAAAAGGTTGGAAAAGCCAAGTGTTTTTATACCTGGAAGAACAGAGGTAAAGATGATAAAGACTTCTTAGTCAATCAAATAGGTACAACTGTGGCACATTCTGATGGATTAGAAATCTTGCCTTTTCTCTTTTGGCGTTTCAAATACACCTTTCCACTCAGGCCATGCTCCAGAAGAAAACATAGCAATTGTCACAAGTCATCAAAAATAATAGGGAAAAGGTAACAGCCACAGTGTTTTTCAATAATAAGTCATAGCCCATTTAATTGTGGGAAAGGTGTTGGCTCTCTGCCTCTCTGCCACATCCTGAACTAACATTAGAGTAAAGTGCAATATTTCTTTTTAAAATATGCGTTCCCTAAGTTTCCCCAGGGTGAGGTTGATAGGATCAGAGCAGCAGCACAGCCTTAAGCAAGGGACCTACTCCCAGCTCTCTCAACCTGCCAGCCCAGAACAGAGGCCATCAACAGAGCTAAGCCTAAGACTTGGGCAAAGGGCGCAGGACAGTAGGAAAGAAGAAGAAATGATAGTGAGAGGGAAAAAATGATGACTTGAGAAAAGAATCCAAATGATTGGCCATGGGGAATGCTGCTGGTAATCAACTCAAGGCCTCTCATCACCCTGATGATACTCAAGTTCATCAGATTTATTTCTTCCCAAATAGTAATGATTGGCATGTGGCCATATACTGGTATATGAGGGCTCTCATTGAGGACAGGGGCTATACCAGGCTCTGTTGTTTCCTATACACTTCCCTGTTAGTTGGCATTCTTTGAGCAAACAATGGGGACATCGATGAGACCTGTCATAGAAGAGCACCCACCTGTACATGCTGAAGACTGTATTGCCATTGTGCATAAGGTACACATACACTTCCTCAACATCCTCGTGCTTCATCATGCTGAAGGTAAAGAAATACACACCTGAAAAAGGCAAGTATTTATCCATGTTTATATTAACATATTTTACCTTGAGAACCTGAAGATAGCATGAGATAGGCCAAATGACATCATACTTCTTTTGTTGATATTCTACACAGTGTGTAGTTTCTTCTTGGCCTTGACATTGCATGAGTGTCCCTTTTCTGTTCGCTTTCAAAGTGCTTTAAAATTTTTTGAGGCTTTCTCAACGTGTACATTGTGTATCTCTAATAAGAATTAAAAGTCTTTAAGGGAAGGACTCTACATTATTTTAGCTGTAAGTGCCTTCTCCCCTGACAAAGTGGTTAGAGCAAAGTACATGCTATTTCTCTAGGTTTAAGTTAACTATCATCAGGATCTACCCCAGGGCTCAGACTGGCAAGGTACAGAGCGTTGTGGATGAGCACGTGATGCTTCATGGCCTGGCAAAGTGAACAAAGTATAACATTGCAACAGGTGACTATACTTGCCAAAGGAACCAGCCAAAGATAAGGAAATACTGAAGCACAGAATAAATGTTTGCTAGTTCTGAGGAAATAACTCCAGTAATTTCTCATGTTATTCATTGTAAGTCGGTGAAATTATGTACACTAAACAGAAAGGTCCGACTTGGATTCAGCAATAGGACCTTGTCACGAAAAGTCTGTGTCCTCCTCATTTGATAAAGATAAACATATTTTAAGAGATTTGAGTTTTCTTATAACAGTCTAGGGTTCCTAATTGAAGGCAATTAATATGACCTGATATACTCTAAATGCCAGTGCAGAAGAAACTTTCAGAAGAAACTGAATGATTACGAAGAATCTGATAGTAGACAAACATGCTAAAAGAAAAATCTTTTTTTTTTTTTTTTTGCACCCATCCCCACCAGAAAAGTCTTTCCAACTCTAAATGATCTAGGATTTGGGTGTGCATTTTGGAAAGGTGAATGCACATAAGTCAGAAAGCTGTTATTGATTTCCATGTTACATTTTAAACCTAATGGCCTTTCAAGAGAAAAACCCAGAAACATCAAAAAAAGAAAAAAGCACTGGACAGTTTTATTTCTTTCCAAAAGTGCAATCAAGTAAGATAGAAGCTATAAGGTGCCACATTGATCCATCTAGTTCTGAGTCAAGTCGAACCAAATGAGGAAGTATGATTAAACTTTGTCTAGCACCAGAAATGCATATTCAATGTGCTGAGATCAAAGGAAACGGTATAAAAATTCATCTTGCTCATTCATATACCTAGATATTGGCCCATAGATTAAAAGTAAAGGCAGATCAAAATTAAAGAACTCAAAGAAAGTAGTTGATATGTGTTTAGTTTTTCACATTTTACAAAATTTCATATTAGACACACACACACACACACACACACACGACAATTTTCAGTGCCTCAAGAAGATAAAGCTGGAATCAAAATGACAGGAAAATATATTGGTTTTCCTAAAAAAGATGAGTACTATAAAAAATAGATTGCAGAAACATTTTAGAAGAGCAGATTAAGAAACCAGATGGTGAATAAATGAAACATCTAGAATTGGAAATACAGAAGTGAACGTATAGTATATCCACACATGGCTTTCCTCTGCAAGGGAAGGTACCGACACCAGAGGCAACATGCCTGCACTATGGTTTCCAGGTCTTTGTATTGCTGTAATTGCAAAAATCAGCCTTCTCTGTTTCATCACTCCCAAAGTAAAATAAATAAATTAATTGATTAAATAAAATGATCTTTTTGCAATCTATTGGATGAGGTTGAAACAGAAAACTATGGGAGTCAAATGATGGTTGTTATTGTTGGAATGATGTCCAGTCCAATAGAGTTCTAAAATACAATAGAGTTCTAAAATACTAAACTAAATCCTTAGGCTTTGATTGTGAAGCCATGAAACCATTGACAAGGTATAGCTAGGCACTAAGATAATCTGTGGCACTGATGGTGTCTAACAAAATAGTTCCAGGAATATTATAACATAAACCTTCAGAGCAAAGCATATGAGAATGTTCAAAGCTGATTGAAATGTGATGAAAGATTGCTTCAACCACTTCATTCATTTCTGACTTAAGCTGGGGGAAAATAAATCCAGGCACAGGCACACATTAAAAGTACTTGTGACAAATCTAACATGACCGATTTAAAAAAATAGGGTCAGGCACTCCTTGAAGTGGTGGCAAGGGAGGACACAGTTATGATATTTATACTATGAGAATTATGTTCTAAGGACTTTCAAAAGCTGAGAAACTATGCCCTCTTAGGGATTATTTGGTTCAGTTCAAATCGGAGCTAAGAATCTTAATAACCATGGCCATAATTTTTAAAGGCATTTTTGTCTTTTCAGATTCTAATTTGTTTACTTTGAAATCCAACAGTAAACCTATATGAGCCGCTTGTTTTAATCTGCAACAAAAAGAACGTTTAACTATCCTAATGTCTTCCTTTATTTATTTGTCCCCCTTCATGCTTCCCTCCTTTCCTCCTTCCTTCCTTCCTTCCTTCCTTCCTTCCTTCCTTCCTTCCTTCCTTCCTTCCTTCCTTCCTTCCTTCCTTCCTTCCTTCCTTCCTCCCTTCCTCTCTCCCTCCCTCCCTTCCTCCCTTCCTTCCTTCTTTCCTTCCTTCCTCTCTTCCTTCTTCCCTTCCTTCCTTCCTTTTCTTGATTACTAGATTGATTAATTCATTCATTCATTTATTTTTACACCTCACCTGATACTGGGGCCCCGAATCTACCAGTCATGACGTCAAAGAAATTTCCAATGTTGGTTTCAACACTGCTGAAAATAATTCCACTGTTCTGATTGCTGAAGTGAGTTGCTAGAGAAGCCATGAATGCAATCTACAGAAAGAATTGGTGGCCAATTAATTGGTGATTTATCTTAAAGAAATAAAGTTTTATACAGGTTAGTTTATTGCAACATTATTCATAACAGCAAGATTGGAAATAATGTCAATCTATGGAGTAAGGTAAATAAATTATGGTAATTTCTAACATTTTTATGCCACGTAGCCAGTAGAATGATAATGTATAGCAACAGTTCTGAACATATGTTTCCAAGATCATTAGTCTTTGAAATGCTTTTGCAAATTTTGAAATTCTATTTATAGGAAAAATTTATACAGGAAATAAATAATACAGGAAAAATTTAGATAAATTCTCTGCTGATAGCTATTAAATGCACATCATCATATTAAAGGATCTGAGAAACCCAGCAAGCAAACATCATTTTAGTTTTAGTTACCCCTGCATAATTTTTTCCCCAAAAAAAGTCTATAAATTCTTATGGAATAAATTCTTTTAATACACTTGAATTATTCTTAATGTTGATCTAAACATGTATATGTAAATAATGGAAAAATATCTTTAATAATTATTTACTTAAAAAGCAGGCCACACAAGGTCATTATGGCCTGAAAATGGACTTTGTTAAGAGTGTCTGTGTGGGTAGTGGTATTGTCTGAGCAAACTGAGAAAAATAACTGCAACAATATCCACAAAATTATTTACAGCAGGTCTCAGTAGAAGGTTCATGGCAAATTTTTCCTTTTTTAATTATACCTATAATTTTCAAATGAACATTTATTAATTCTATACTCAGAAAAAATATATGTTAACTTTAAAGATATAGAATTGTATTTATTTACATGAAGAGATGTTCAAGACATATTGTCATTTGTGAAATAAAGTAATAATATGTATCATTATGTTCCCATTATATTTAAAAGTACTATGTGTGTATAAGCATGCATAAATCTAAAAGTTATGTAATTCTATGTTAATAGTAATCATCACTGGACACATTTTTTTATTTTTTGCACAGCAGCTTTCTAATTTTTTTAACAATGAAAAATTATCATGTGAATAATCTTTTACAAGGCACAAAGAAATGTTTCAGTTATTTAAAATTTAGAAAAAATGGTTTAATAAAATGAATTATTTACTTGAATATTAGAACAGCAAAGATTTCTAGGGATGATTTTACATCAAAAAATGTCATGTTAGAACAGTAGATTTAGACTTAGGGGAACCAGAAAAAGCCATTTAATGCCAGCACCCATTCCTGGGATTGATCACAAATACCTCATGTGTAACCTTTTATGAGACATTGAAAGGCTCTATCCAATCAGTGAAAAATCAGTGAAGAAAATTAATTGAAGAAACCTGCTCATGGTAGCAACCAAGAGGCTCCATGAGTTTGGGAATAAAACTATCTCCTGGGTTCAAAGATATGAGATTGAGTCCCAGCTCTATGAATTCTGTGTCACTTAGCAAGTCATTTAGTATTCGAGCGGCAAATTTTTATATCCCCTAAGTGGAAAATGGGGCACTACTATTACTTTTCTTCCTCCTCTTCCTACTGCTACTTCTACAAGTATTGTTACTACATCTGTACTACAAATGTCCAAAGACAGTGTTAGAGTTCCAAATATTAAAAACTGACAATAATCAAAGAGCCTTAGGATAATTCCACCTGTCGAGAAATGCTTTTGCTTGAAACCTCCATTGGAGAATGAACTTTGAAAGTCAATGCCAGTCCTTTGTCCAAATGAGTCACTGAGACTGAGTGTGAATTAGATTAATAAATTCTTTAACTTGCTGAGTTTGTCTCCCAAGAATGTGAAGTCCCCTCCTTCACACCCTGCCTAAGACCCAAATAATTGTATTGTGGTTTTAGAGTAAAAGAGTTGATGGAGCAAATTTAATAATTGCCCAGAGTGTTCTCTACCAAACTGGCTACTCCATGGCCCTTTAGCCCTGGTTTCACCATTCATAGATTCTGGGTTAGAGTTTCCAGCCAGGAGATGTTTATTGTCCATCTTAGTAGATACTTTAACCTTGCTGAGTGCTTTTCTCTCCCATTTCTTTGTAAATTTATACTGGCATATATATCCCAGGTTGCTGAAATTATTAAATAGCATTGATTAAAAAGTTAGTAAAAACCAAAACAAAAACAAAAACAAAAAACATTAGAGTAACACATTACCTAGTCAAGTTATTTTAAATTTGAAAAACCAAGGTCCAGAAAAGTGATGAAACTTATCCAAGGTCAAACAACTACCACATATGCCCAAATAAAAGGCAAAGTTCCCCCCACTTGATCTTTCAAACAAGAGTCACTTCATATTCTAGTCTTTTTGAAGTCTCTCATGTTATAGGATTTTCTCTCAATTATTTTAGCTGCAAGTTACTATTTGGGGAACATATTAGCTAAAAACAGACTAAATTTTAAAAATGCTAGTCTTCAATATTGATAGAATTCCCCTGAAAGAATCAATTTTAAAATATTAGCCAAAAGAAAATATATTAACACAAACTTAGTAATTTTCTTGGTGACCTAACCTCACATTTACAAGTTTAAGATGTTATTGGCAACAAGAATTTTAAAGGTCATTTAACAGAAAAATGAACAGTGAATAAATAGGTACTTGAGTTTGGGAAAAAATATACAGTTATAACCTCATAAATGGATTTTTAAAGCTATCCTGAAGTGAATATGATCTTGTCCAGAACACTCTGAGTGGATAACTCAAAAATAAAATGTATCCAGTTGATAAAGAAGATACTGGCAAGAAAAGTTTCAATAAAAATTGCATCACAAAATCTGAGTTGAGAGAAAACAATGTGCATTAATATCCATATAGGTGATTTAAATATGTAAATGTAATAAAATTAATAAAACATTATAAGTAGACATTTAGCCATTCCGTTTATATATCTAAACATTTATGTATTCAAGTTGGCCCAAATCCTTTTTATCTAACATATCTGCTCATTGGAGAATAGGAGATGAGTTCATATTCAGGGATGCCTTGGATTTTGGTCCTATGAGGAGGTTGGATTTCACTCTTCTTACATTTCTCTCCTCCCTGAGAATGATCTCAAACCGCCTGTTTGGACAGCACGGGCCTCATGCACACACCCTGCCTGAATGTGGTGTGTGTGAGCAAATGCACGCTCAGATTTACTGGAGATGGATGATGGCTGCAGGAAGCACTCAGACCTGACTCCTGCCACTTGTGGTCCGGAAGGTTTAGAAGTCGAGAGGCGGTTTACCTGCAGTTCTGGTGGAACGCCCGGGTAGCCCTTCTCTCCTTTGGGGCCATGATGCCCCCGCTCCCCTCGAGGCCCCAGGTCACCTTTGTCACCTTTCTCACCTTTGGCCCCTTCATGGCCAGTGGCTCCATTATTGCCATTGTTTCCGTGATTTCCTTAAGCAATCAGACAGCAATCAACAATCAGAGAGACAATTACGTGAGAAAACCCAATCCCTCATGCTCACCATTTATTTTTAGACAAACTGTCCAAACTGAATTGTAAAAGGGACCATTTGAAACAATCCCAAAGGCAGCCCAGGGGACCTCTTTTAAACAAGGCATTAGGCTCTGAAAATAGCCTTAGATACCCTAAGGCTCCAAAATCTGTTTAGCCTATAAAGCAAAGCTTGGAGGAAATATTGTGTAGAAGACTTATTATCAAATTATAATTTAAAACAGCAAAGATTAGAAGCCTACATATCCACCAATACTCGAAGGGCTAAATATTTTTAAATGGCATATTCTAGTAAATGATGCCTTATAGTTATTAAAATATAATGCTGGGCAAAACCATTTAATGATATATAGTGATATTCATGATACTTTTAGATTAAAAAGTTATGAATAAATAGAGCGAACATAATGCTATTTTTATTTAGAAAAATTATGTAGGTATATATTATATTACATCACAGGGCTAGAATAAGACTAGACTTCTTACATCCAAAGACTAGATTAAATTACATAAAATATTTATAGTGATTTCTTTCTAAACAGAAGAAATGTCAGTTTCATGGAATTCTATATATATTTTCTATTTATTTGAAGTTTTGTATAAAGGATACATACCACTTTTATAACTGAGGAAAAAGTAAACTCACTGATTTAAAAAGTCATAACAATAATTTCGAAAGCAAGAGTTCAATAATAATGTCAACTCTTCAATTTGCCAACAAGAGATAATTTCTATACCTTTTCCTTATTTTTATATTTGCTGAATTTCAGGCCCTTTTGCTGTTTGTTTTGCATGCTACCTTTGATCAGGCATCATACCAGGCTTATGATCCTTCCAAATGGGTGAACTTTGACTGTTGGACAAGTTAATGTATTCAGTGACAGAGCCATTCCTGATGGGAAACATTTAACCAAGGCCAGCCTGTCCTGAAGCCTCAGAAGAGGTGAGACCTGAGAAGATGTTAGAAGAGTCTAAATACCCCCCACTCTACATCACTGCACCTGCTGGCTGTTGCCCTCCGTGGGGGACAATGACATGACCAGCAATCATAGTTTAAACTCTCACAGAGGATTTCCTACTTATAAATTTGGTTTTGTGTGAGAAGCTACTCAAAGTTACAAAAAAATTAAACCACATTTGATAAATATTAACACCAATGGGAGTTAGAGAAGAGCAGGTGGACTTTGGCCTAACCCTTGACCTGAGTAAGAAGAGGACAAAAAAACAAAAAAAACCCCAACCTGGATAGGTTTCGGGGTTCTAGGGTAGAGAGGACCTGGGCTGCCCTTTCCTCAGCTGACCCAGAGTAGTAGCAAGCTCCCAGGATTCCTCTGAGCTGGGGACACCGGTGCATTAGAGATGGCCAAAATGTGGGTCTAGAGGGGCCCTGTGTAGTTCCAGATCATTCCCTGCACCACCATGAGGTACTGGAGTGGAGAAATGTTTCCGTAAGCCCAGGAGAGGCATGGGAGTCAACTGAGAGACAACTGAGTACGTGGAGCCCCAGAAACTGGCGGAAGAAAAGCTTAACTCGACCTAGAGTCACACAGAAAGATGCACAGCCCAGTAAATGGCGCCGTGAAGGTGACTGTAGCTCAGTCCAGTAAGCTCTTCCCTCGTCCCTGCCAGGCTTCATGAATCCTCTGAAAGCTATTAACAGGTACTGTGTACTGTATAAAGCCCATTGTACCAGAATGCTGGAACTAAGACAATGTTCCAATGAAGATCTAGTAGTTTCAGGCTCGGTCCTGGCGAAAAGCATCCCAGCCTGTGAACCTGGTACCCCAGGGGGCCTAGAGCCTGATGGACTCTGTGAGTGGTGCAGAGAACAAATATTGTGGGTATATACTGTTCTACCTGCCCTGGCTTAATAAACCCAGCTTCCCACCCAACTCTCTTTCTGTTGGGTTTTCCATGCATACCCTCTGCATCACACACAGGGGGCCCGGATCATCTAGGTCCGCCCTTGCCTCCTGGTTTGGCCCAGTCTGCAGTTAGACTGGCAGCACGTCTCGCTCATCCTTACCTGGAATGCCGGGAGGGCCTGGTGGTCCAGGGGGGCCTTGGTAGCCTCGGAAGCCGTAGTCTCCATGACAACACTTGCTGCAGTCTGGGGGCAGTGCGCCGGTCTGTGGAGACTTTAAAAAGATAGAGAGAGAAGCTTCAGGGAAAGGTACTTGTGAACAAGAGGGTTTTTATATTTCCTCTAGCCTTGGTCCTTGGGTAAGTTTAACTCCAACCCACAACAACATCGGAAACGGTGGGATGGGAAGACTTATCCATGGCACAGGGTCAGGGAGTAGCTCAGGCGAGTCAGTGATCGCAGGAAGAGGCGACAAGAAAGTCAGTAGCATGGGGTGGAAGCGGGGGTGGTATTTCTGGAAAGTGCTTTCCTGCTGCCGCTTTGACAGCAGAGGAAGCAGCTTCTTCAGAAGTGGACTTGGAAGCCTTTCTTCCCTTTCCCAACTGCAAATGGCCCCAGGTAGAGCTAGATTGAGTAGATGACCCTCAGATGACAAGAATTGTCTACTTCAAACATAGCTACTAAGCACTCACTGCATGCTTGATACTGGGTTAACAGCTGGATTAAGAGTTCTTGGAAACTCTGAATTGTAAACGCTAGTTTTTCAAACAGCCACAACACACTTACATTGCCTTAGGAAATTGGGGAAATAAAATATTCTTTAGTCTACCAGAGTTATTTATTTATTCAAATTGACAACTCAAACTGCATATATTTATCATGTACGACATGTTGTTTTGAAATAGGAACACATTGTAAAATGGCTAAATCAAGCTAATTAACATAGACATTACCCCACAACTTTTTTTTTTGCAGTGAGAACACTTAAAATCTACTCTCTTAGCAATTTTCAGGAATGCGATACATTGTTATTAACTATAATTGCAATATATTTTTATTGATTATCTACATCTTGAAACAACTTTTACTTCCTTATAAGTATTTAACAAGAGTTCTATTTCACACATTCCACTTCAAAATGTGAGATGGTAATCCCACTGTTTGACCAATATTTAATGAGTACTTAATGGGTATGAAATATGCTCAAATATGACACTGAGCTAAATGCATATTTATATGAAGATAAATTTCTAGAATTTGTGCTTCCTGTGAAGGAGCCAGAGATCTAGTGGAAGTTGATTGGCAGAAGAGTTTGAGTTGCTCATGAAATTTGAACTGTCATCTCAATTGGTCGTATAAAATACTTGCGAAAACTTTCCTAGACATCAATCATAAGTCAATGGTCTTTTAAAAGTAGCATGTCGTTGCTAAGGTTTCCATCAGGGAAGGAATGTAGGGAGGGTAGGAGAGAAAGCACAAGGGAAAGGGAGGAAGAAAAAATTTAAAATTCAAGTTTTCTCCATCACTAGAAATTCAAGCACAAAACTGGGTCAAGGCTTCACATTGTTGCACAGTTAGACCTTACTTTTACTTTTTTTACAATAAAAAATGGGCTTGGACTTTGTCCTCACTGTCTCATCCCCTTTCCTAAAGTTTTCCATCAAACTATTTCAGGAAAACACCAAAAAAGCATCTGTAGTCTAGGCATTCTCCTGCAGCAGCTCAGAATTCAAGTCTTGAGTGATCAGGAGCTATAATCTAGAGCTAACTCCTAGTCTTCTCTTCAGTTTCCCAGGCCCAACCCTGGATAGGTAAGAGTCTGTGAAAACGTTTTGTGAAATTGATAGAGGAAAGAAAATCAACTACAGCAATCACTCTGAGATGAGGGAATTCAGGCTACTTGGAAAGCCAAAGACACCACGGCACCGCCCCACATCCTAATCCAAAAATGCAATCTGAGAAGCAAGTATCCATATTTCCTGTTATGGTTTTGCTAATGTGAAATACAGTTTTTGAAACCCCGGAAATCCAGGGCTCTGCCAATGATGAATTTTTGAGATGAAGAAGGGAGGGGACAGAGGGAAAGTCCTGAAGTGAAATCATTTGTGTAAAACAGAATGGAAATACTGAGATGCTTAAGAATGTTGGAAAAACCACCAGACTGGAACCAGCATTCTCATCTCGGTTCTGCGTGACCTCAGAGAAGTCACTGCTCCCCAGACGGTGTTCTTCTTGTCCACTAAATTAGAGAACGGGGTGAGATGGTGTTGAGGCCCAGAAGATGACTCCTCCAAATATGACGCTTTGGCTCGCTGAGTGCTTTGAAAATGGAAAGGCCCCAGAAATAAGCCTCAGACCTAAGGTGAAGGGAGAACAAAAACATCCCACAGAGCAGAAGAGCGAAAGCTGGCTGGATTTTGATTTACAGTGTGAATCCAAACCGTGAAAGCAGCGCCCCACAATCCTTGTGAACTTTTGGGTTTTAAGCAGGAGGTGTCAGAAAAGTTACCCCAGGGATAACTGGCTTATGGCCAATCTTTTATTTAAAAAAAGAAGGAAAGAGAGAAAGAAGCCTCAGATCCAAGGTCTCTCTCTGATCTTCTCCTGCCTCTCTGTCTCTCGGATCCTTGGTCTGGAAGCACCAAGAGAAACCCTCTGGAATTTCCTTAATCTTACTGAGAAAGCTTTCCAAAAGAAATGCAATTGTCTTAAGACCCCCTCCTTAGGAATCTCATCAAATAACCAGGAAAGATCAATCACTGGGAGATCAGAAGTTGTCACCAAGCCCAGACAGACTTTTCATCTGTTTTCCTGAGGGCAGTTCACAGAACTGACTGGGGAGGCTTTATATGGATAATAAGACAGCCTTTGTGCCAGTGACTCACCTTCCCCAGGGCTCAGAAGAACTTCTACATTCCCTTCTCCCTCCTCTCCTATATAAAAGGGTATATAAGCATCTGCACTCCATTGGGTTCATGGATAATCATCGTCCTGTGACTCCCCTGTGCTATGCATGTTAAATAAATCTGCATGCCTTTTTCTCCTATTGATCTGCCTTTTCTCAGTCCATTTTCAGGGAAACTTCAGAGTATGAAGGGAGAAGCTTCCCCTCTTCCCTCTTACAATGGCCATGCATTTTCTTTCCAGCTCTATGATACAAACAAAATACTAAAGTCTTTCCCAAAGTCTCAAATAATAATTTAGAAAGATCTTGTTTTCAAAGTCTAGTGTCTAGGATCTACGTACAAGAAGCTAGGTCCAGCAAATGGGGTTGCTTGGTACTAGAGCTAGCCAGGACTGGAGGTGCATGCTTAGGGTACTTGAGGGCACTTCAAGAGTGTAGAGCTGCCACCAAGACAGTGGGAGACTTCTGATTACTACTATTGGGACACCTCCTGAGAGCCCTCCTCCTATGCCCTTTCATCACACGTTTCCCCCTCTGATCTTGTCTTTCAAAGTTCAGTCAAATGCGACAATGCTTGTGAGTCTTTTGCTGGACTTTCAGAACAAGTTGGACAAGATGTGCTGATTCAGATATTTTTCTTAGGTAAGGGAGAGATTATATATATATGCATTTACTATCTATGATCTTCTTAGGTTTATCAGCCCCTTTCCCAAAAATCAGATTAAATTTGTATACCAAAGGCATGCACATTTGCAGCATGGAAAGATAGAGGTATGTCTAAGACAAGCTCCATCTATTTTATATTAATAGAGGCAGGCCCAGGGCTAGTGACCTAGAATTGAGGCCTGCTACTGGTAAGTGACACCTGGGGAAGAGAGTCCATGGTTCCTTCCTTAACCCAAAGAAGATGGACAAAAAAGGAGAAAAGTGGGAGGAGAGAAGAATGAGTGTCCAGGAAAAGTAGGGGAGATTAATAAAAGTGAATGACAAAGACCCTACACAGAAAGAAATGCCAGGAAAAGGGAGTCTAGGTCTGCCCACCCCAGGTCTCTTCCCACTCTGCTCCACCATGAACCCTGTAGCCAGAGCTATCTTTCTAGAACACACATCTGATTGCCTCACTGCCCTGCTACGAACAAACAAACAAACAAAGCTGTTGCTAGCAAAGCAAAGTCTAAGCTCCTTAACCAGCTGGCAGAATCCTTCTCAGCCTGGCACTAAAACTGTGTGATGTGTCCCCTGCCACACACACAGCCAACTCCTCACAGGCTCTCTCAAGTCTCTGCTGTGACACATTTACTTTTACTTTTAAATTCCTGCTGTGAATAGCCATTCTTTTTGTCTCATCTTTTAGGATCCAACTCAGGGACCACCACTACTCTGACACTTTTTCTTAACTGTCTTTTGTATATTGACCTTGTTCATCACATGCTACTTAATTAAACTTAATTTAATTAGCAAACATTTATCCCCACTAGAGCCCCGCATGATGGCTTGGAGATAGGAGTGCAGGCATGTTTATCTTCATTTATTTATTTATTTATTTTTGAGACAGAGTCTCGCTTTGTTGCCCAAGCTAGAGTGAGTGCCGTGGCATCAGCCTAGCTCACAGCAACCTCAAACTCCTGGACTCAAGCAATCCTGCTGCCTCAGCCTCCCGAGTAGCTGGGATTATAGGCATGTGCCACCATGCCTGGCTAATTTTTTCTATATATATTAGTTGGCCAATTAATTTCTTTCTATTTTTAATAGAGACAGGGTCTCACTCTTGCTCAGGCTGGTTTTGAACTCCTGACCTTGAGCAATCCACCCGCCTTGGCCTCCCAGAGTGCTAGTATCACAGATGTGAGCCACCGCGCCCGGCCATGTTAATCTTTAGATCATGGACCCCATCCTACAGGGTAGCACATAGTAGAAGCCCAGGGAATGCTTGGAGAAGAAATGAATGAAGAAAAAGGAGAAATAAGATAAAAGAAGAGCGTTGGGAGAAGTAAGCAAAAAAGGAAGAATTTACGAAGAACAATCTTAAATTGAATCTGTCTCAACATCCATTGGTAGAAGAATTGTATTGGAAACGTCTAGAATATCATTGACTCTAAATCTCCTCAATATCTCCCATTGGGGTTTGTTTGAAAATACTTGAGGAGCCCAGGATTAGAAGGGTGAAGGAGAATTGTGATTTGGATTTCAGTTGCCTGGTACGTGTTGGTTGCCAGAAGATAACGACTAATGGCAACCTATAACCAACTGCCTTCTGTTCTCTCTGGGGGCTCACACTGCCATGGCCAGGAAGGACACCATCTACTGAAATGGGATGTTCAGATCAAGTCCTAGATAAAAGTGAAAATACCTTCACCACTAAGGAAAATGCAATTTAGCATTAATCATCCTTTAGCCAAAAGATGGTCATGGATGATCTCTAAAAGTGACTTTCAAAAAATAGGATATTTCAAGTTTATAATTTCTTCCATGGTTCCTTAAAGAAGCAATTTTCTCTTGACCCAGCCCCACAGAATGGTTTGCAACTGCACTGTGTGATCAAGTTAGAAGTCTCGGGTTAGTTCATATCTGCATCTGATTCTACATATAACCAAATAATCAACCCAAACGTCTCAATCCATGGCAGGAGAGGTTTAAATTTCAACTTTGTGATTTTTTTAGGATCTATTTAATGCTTAAAAGTTATCAATTCTTGTAGTAAAACCTATTTATTCAAAGATTACATCATTCAAAGTAACTTTTCTTGCCCCCCTCCATGTGTTTGTTTTTTAGTATACTAAATGCCTAGAAGGTAAGTCAAATCTGTTTCTTCCTGTACTGTTTTAAATTAAATTGAGTTTCACCAATTTGCAATTCACCATACCAACTCACTCCCAAGCTACCTTAAAAGAGTCAAAGATATTTGCTTAGCTGCTGAGCTTATAACCTGAGACGTCCTCTGTGACTATCAGGCATCAAATCAAACTATAATAATTGAAACAAAGCATAGCGGGGGGAAAAATCATACGATAAGGTTTGCATTTAAATACACAGTCTATTTTTGATTTATCTGTTTAAACAGGCTAACCACAGAGGCTTAACATCCTAGAATGCTATAAATCAAATAAACAAGACTGGCCTGAAATGTCACAGTGAACTCACACATCAAAGTAAAAAAGAAACTTTGATTGCTTTTGACAAACTCAAAGGGCAGCTTCTCTCTGCTGGAAAGGATTAAGAAAGCCCAATTCTCTCAAGAACAGCAAATGGTTATCTGTCTGTCTATCTGTTTAGGTCAGCACTCCTTTCCCCCCCAACAGAGCAAGCCCCAGCGAGGCGGGAAGCTGGCTGCCCCAATTCCTCTTTCTCATCGGGGATGCTACGACCACTTTTTATCCCATCACATCATTGCTACCTCTGCTGACTTTCTAACAGAGACCGGCAGTCCCTCTGGTATCCCAGAGCAATCCGGAAGGAGACCCACAAGCAGCTTAGCAAACTCCTCCAAAGCACTGATCCTAAGCACCTCAGCCAAAGAAACAATAGCGACAACAGCAGCCACAAAACTCATTAAGCTTTCACAGAAACCCTTAGAAGAGAATTCCGAGTACCTGGCCCCAGAATGTGGTGATCTGGGCTAGGTCATCTACCTCGGGGTGCGGTAGCTCATCTGGTCTCAGGGATTTTAGGTCTGCAGAAGTGTTATTATCCACAATCCCAGTTTTAGGATGGCTCCGCTCTCTCACTTTCTCCCTCCTGGAGCCGCTACGGCCAGTCTGCTGGTGGCTCTGCACTATTCTCGCCACCACGTTATTAGCTCTTCCGCTCACCTCCATGTATTCATCTTGACACAGGCAAAATGGGAGGAAAAACAAAGCCAGCATGTGCCAACAGACGAGCTGCCTCCCGAGCATGGTTCTCAACAGAGCCACAGAGCGTCCTGGACAAGACAGCGGGGCTCCAGGAACGCGGTCTCCTCGGGCAAATGCCAGGGCTGGAGACGAGAGCTGCAGCCGCTGGGTGGTTTTATACTTTGGTGTGTAATAAATAAGGCTGCAGCCTCGCCAGAGTGACAGCAGCCCTCCCCCCGGGGGCAGAACAGCCCCCATTCATCACTTTCCCACACCACAGGCGGGACGGATTTGTGTGCGCAGCTCCCAGTTGGCGGGGTTCGTAAATGTCACACCTTGGCACGTTTTTTGTTAAAGTGTGAAGAAAACATACACAACCAGCTGGAAACAGAGAGCATGTGTCCAGTGGTTTGCTTTCATGATTAGACATGGAAAGGCTGTGCATGCGTGGTCTAAAATGTCTTTTGGAAAAACCTACCCTCGCGCTTGCCAGGAAATTCGGGCTTAACTGCATCAGTTCCGTCTGGAATGGCAGTGGGAACCCATTCAGGGCAATCAAGAGAGCTCTCGCTCTCAGGTTGTTCGGTTAGCATTTCCCTGCTTTGGCACGTTGAAAGTAACTCATTTCCCCTTCCGGATGCCAGCATCAGAAGGCAGTTGGTTGACTATGAAACACTGAGCTGAATTCAGATGCAGAGTCTCTGGACTTAGCAAAAGCATTTCCCTGTCCTAGGCTTTATTTCCTTTGCCTCTGAGTTTTCGAAAGCCAAAGTGAAATCAAAGTTAACCAAGTCATTTGCTGTCAGATGAAGGTCCCAAGCCCTGCTCTGTGTTAAGAGAAGGGTGTCTCAGGCTATCCTTCCTTCTGAGATATTCTCGAGCAAAATCAAAGCAAGGGAGAGCGCCCAGCCAAACATGCTGTCTGCAACACAGCAAGTTGGGATCGAGAGAATGATCCTTTCTTCTGATTTAGCTGCCATACTTTTATTAATTTGGCCAAAAACCAAATGGACATTCCTAACTTCTTTGCGATAATAAATTAAGAGAATTTATTTAGTTTTGTCATTAAAAATCGCTTCTATTTACATACGATTTTCTAATATTTCTATTACTCATTCACTCACTCTAGAAAAAGTTATTGGCCCTCTCAGAGGATTAGAGAGACCCAGGGACTTTGAGGAGGATGGGTGGCAAGTGTCTGGTGGGGACGAGGGTGGCACGAAGACACAGAGCAGCTGGAGAAAGGGCAGGGGACACAGCGCTGTGGAGGGCCTGAGAACCAAGAGACGCCTCCAGAAGTGGCCAAAACTGGCCAAAGCCAGCCTGGCCACTATCGCAACTGCCAGAACAGCTGTCTCCAGAGCCCACATCATTATGTAGAAAAGTCTGGTGGTGGGGACAGAGCGAGAGAGTTATTCTGTGAAATAAAATCTCTCCAGGCTGCAATGTAGGGGAGCTGGGAGTCATTCTTAGTCCAAGCAGTCAGTTTCCAACTAGTGGGGCAGAAAAGGCTAGGCCATCCCCACTCCACGAGTCTGCCCTTGGGGTGTCTAAGATTTCCCGCCTGGAGGATTCCTCCAGTTCCGAGATGTGCACTGTTGCAAGGCAGACACCGGGCAAGGGCCTTGTATCAGGCTGTTACCCGGCATTAGCTCCTACTGAGGGCTCTTTGCACAGACCTGCATCAAAAGATGGGGAAGGATGGCGCCTATATTTGCAGGGCAGGCAGGTAGATGGGGCTTTGCCGTGGGAAGGAAGGACCAGGGCAGCATCTCAGTGGGGGTGCTCCCTCATCAGAGATGCCTGGAGAGAATGCCACAATGCAAGCAGTGGCTCTGAAAACTAGGTCACCTAATTCACAAGTGTTTTCAGCGCTATCTCTGAGTCTCCCCCTCAGGCCTGTCTCACAACATGGGCCATCTGGCTGAGTAACTACAAATCAGCCTCTCTGACTTTCCACCGCATTGAGACTTTCCATGAGTGGTTTTCAATCCTGTCATCTATACTAGTGCTCTCGACCCTGGCTGCATAGGGGAAAAAACCAGGGAGCTTCTAAAAATATCAGTGCCTGGATCCCGTGCCAGACCAATTGAGTCAGAGTCGCTAGCGCAGCCTAGGCATTAGTTTTTAAAAAGTTCCCCCAGACGATTCTAGTGCACATCAGGGTTAGGACTCACAGACCGGTCCTCTTCTTGACTCGAAGGAGTAAGTAATAATAATGTCTATAACTTGTTGAGCATTTACCACGCACCAGCCAAATGCTGGTGGTAAATTAAGCTCCTTTGCTTAATCTCACTGACTTCTCTCTGCAAACCTATCTATCACCCCTTCTTACAGATGAGCAAACAGAAGCTTCCAGAGGTTACGTGACTTGCCCAGTGTTAGACTCTGTCTCCCCTCCGTGCGCCCTTCCTACAGAGAAGTGGGGAGAGCAATGAGAGGCAGACGGCAGAGACCAAAGACCAGGAGGCCAGTCTGAGAGCTGCCAGGGGACTTTTCTCAAAAATCTGGGGTCAGAGAATGTTCCAGGTTGGATTGTGTCTCCCCAAAAGATGTTGAAGTCCTAACACCTAGTGCCTGTGAGTGTGGCCTTTTTGAATATAGGGTCTGTTGAAGTAAATTAAAATGAAGACCAGGCCTGAAGGAGCAGACAAAGCCAGTTAGGCCCCATAAATGACCTTAACCTTGCTTGATTTGCAAACATAAGCAAAATGTAACTTGAGCTAGTTTTTGTAAATGCCTATATTAAAGAAAAACAGAACTTAAGCTCAACCAATCAGACTCTTTCCAACAGGATAGACTAAATAAGGCAATTATATAACTGTAACCAGTCGAATATTTTCTTTGCTTTACTTCTGTGTTTGTCCTATAAAAGGCCCCCTGCCCTGCGTTGTGTTCCCTTAGTGACACTCCTGAGTTTCTTCTGGTTTGGAGCTGCCTGATTCATGAATTGCTGTTTGTTCAAATAAAGTCTTTAAAATGTTATTGTGCCTCAGTTTACTACTTTTCAACAGGTCGTTATAGATAATCAACTTAAGATGAGGTCATTAGGGTGAGCCCTAACCCAATATGACTTGTAAAAAAGAGGAAATCTGGACACAGAAACAGACATGCACACAGACTTGCACACATTGCCATGTGGAAATGAAGGCAGGAATTAAGGTGGATGCATTTACAAGCCAAGGAGCACCAAAGGCTGCCAGCAAACCACGAGGAGGTACATGAGAGGAGTGTAACACATCACCTCCTCGCAGCCCTCAGGAGGAGCCTACCTGCTGACACCTTGAGCTCACACGTTGAGCCCCCAAAACCGTAACACAGTAATAAATTTCTTTAAGTCACCTCATTGTGACACTTTACCATGGCAGTCTTAGCAAACAATACAGAGAGTGTGTATGAAAATTAAAAAAAAAAAAAATAACAAGAACTCCAGACTCTACCATTTGGTGCATGAGGAGAGGGTAATCTGAAAAGATTCAGCCAATTGCTCAAGTTCATGGATGACAAGTGGCAAACCTAGGCCAAGAAAGAGTCCCCAGCTCTCAATACAGGTCTCTTTTACTGCCCTCCAGTACTTTCCCATTAAATGGATTTAGACTTTAGTTTATTATTAACTAATAATAAGGATTATCATAAGTTAGGGTTATGATCCAGGATGCCCCTTGTATCTGGTTTTCAAAGATGTGAATAAGAATTGGACATAATTTCTTGCCTATGGATTGAATATTAAAAGCATCTAGAATCTATGCCACGTAAATTCTCAGGAGGGCCTGGAGTCCCAGTTCTGCACAGCTATCTGTGGCTATGAAAGCTCACAGAGGATGCCTGTGGACATTGATCTCCTAAAACAACTGGGACTGGGACTGCTACTGTATCTGGCATGCCTCAGACCCAACGGTCCAGCCAGGATGTTGGCACAGCCACGAATGTGAGCAGCAGAGGTGCAGATGCACACGGATATATGTGTAAAAGCCCAGTCCCATGACTCAGCTTTGCAAGGCAGAGGCAAATATTTGTTTAGCTTTACAAGGAAGGCCGTTATGAGATGTGTAGGTGCCCTGTGGCCTGCCCCATGGTGCTTCACTGTGGCCTGGGCCAGAAGGAGATCAGTTATGGTCTGGCCAAGGGACAGTCAAGAACTGTGTTAGATTGAACGTGTCTTTATATCAGTGCCAACTTAAAGAGTAGCTAAAGAAGGCATCTGTTTGCCTGATTTTCGGGAGCAGTAGGAGTGTGACCCACCTCTCTCCTACCTCTTCCCACTGTAAGATACTCCCTGTGTTCAGTGCACTGAATTCTGAGATTCTAAAATCAAGGCTTAATCCCTTTGATTTAAACCAATTAGAGATTTATTGAAATATGAATGAAATTAAATTACTCCCTAAGCTGAGGTAGTTTAGCTGTGTTGGTTGTTTATGTCTTAATGTTGAAGGTTTTTTCAGGTCATTTCCAGAGAAGTTTTATTTGAAGAAAAATGAAAAGAAAGAATCAGAGTATGTTCAGAAAGGGGACACTGCCTCTAGATGTTAGCCATTGCCATTCAAAGAAAAATAATAGGTTTGCGCTTGTCACCAATATGGAACAAAATCAGGGGAGGAACATGAGAGGGAGTTGGTCAGCTAGAGGAAGTGTTGTCACTTGGTGGAATTACATGTTTAGGGTCAGACCTTCAATGAGCAAGAGCAGGAAACCCACTGTCAGTGTCCCGGGAATGGATCTGTCTCTAGGGCCAAAATAAAGCTTTCAGAGACTGATGTACAAAAACCAGCATCCAAATGTATTCATTTTTAATGAAAAGTATCGGACATAATACTTTGAGTGATTACATAATGTAAGCACTCTTAAGGTGATTGCATGTTCATTGAACAACAAATTCTCTCAGTAGGCAAATCCATGTGAGAAGCCAAATTCTAATCAGAGACTTGTGTGATAAGCATGATATTGTGTGTATCTCTGTGTGTTTGTGAAAGAGGATTTGTCAGATAATATTAATGGCTGGTGTCATTGAGCATTTGTGTCAGTCAGCATCCACACAGAAAAACAGAAACCACATCAGATTTTTTTTGTTGTTGTTGTTTTTGAAACAGAGTCTCACTCTGTTGCTGGGGCTAGAGTGCCATGGTGTCAGCCTAGCTCACAGCAACTTCCAACTCCTGGGCTCAAGCGATCCTTCTGCCTCAGTCTCCTGAGTAGCTTGG